TTTTTTTTTTTTTTTTTTTGCCACTAACTATGTGGGTGTTTGCTAAAAAACAAAATGTGATTTTGCTAAGCAAGATACCTGCCTTGATGTTTTAGTGATAGTGCCTCTTAAAAATCAGAGTGCTGTGAGAAGCAGAGGACAAAGCCAAGTTCTGTTTTAAAGTCCCTGAAGGTAGGACTTAGGTTTTCTTTTGACTATTTTGTGAGGGCCTTACATCAAACTATTCTGAACCGGAGGGCAGCAGACAGGAGGGTGCCAGCCAAAGAAATGAGATGCATTTGCAACTGTTAACCCCCCTCTGAGGAAGGCAGGCAGGGAGTGTGTCCTCATTGGAGAATAATTAGCTTCTGTCTCTGGAGCTCTCAGTGTTGTGCCCTGGCATGGTACATGAGAGAAACAGGCTCAGATCTCTCCATTTTCCTTCAGTCCCATGAGCCACTTTCATCAGCCATTTTATTACTGCAGTAGACTCCCAAGTAATCTCGTCTGTCCTCAGTCTTGCAACGCCCAATCCATTTCTTGCCATCTCGTGGCACATGGGGTAAAGTCTGAAGTTCTTTCTGTGGCTCACCAAGCTTTTCATGATAGGGCTTCCCCTTACCTCTCCAGGCACTGCTTCCCACAAACCCCCCACCTTGCTACACTCCAGCTATTTAAAAACACGTGCTTCGAGTTCCAGGTGTGCACTCAGGTCTCTCTTTCTCTTGGCCTCTTCATGCTATTCTCTTTTATATATGTGGTCCCAGTGCCCTTTTCCTTGTCTAAGTTCTCTTCATCCTTCAGCTCTTCCTTAGACAGTCTTCCCTGACCACCCTACACAGTGGGCTGAGGTACCCCCAGATAGTCTCATAGTAACCCTAGTTCAGTCTGTTTGACAGTCTTGTCTCCCATGGGTATGTGTTCTTAGAAGCCTGAGACTCTGCCTTATATCCCCAGAGCCTAGTACAGTGCTGGCACATAAGAGATGCTTAAACAGTAATTATTAAATGGAAGAATGAAATAAATAGTGGTGGGTGTTCTGCATCCCCCAGGCCTTCTGCATTTTAACCAGTGTCTTAAGGAACCTGATGCCTTCACCCAGAATGGATCAGTGCCAGCTATGGAGGAGGCTGAGAGAGCATCTAGTCCAGTTGTCCCAAACCACTGTGTGTCAGAACCACCGAGGGCATTTTTAAAAATACAGTTCCCCATGCCCTGGCTCCATGCAGGAGCCCGGAAACTGTTATTTGTAAAATGTCCCAGAAGATTCTTAGGCAGACTAGTATTGGGGAACCACTGACTTACTCCAGTTTCTTCTTTTTACAATGGGGAAGACGGAGGCCGAGGGGGTTAAATGATAAACCCAAGGTTGTCCAGCTTAGTAGCACAGCCTGGAATGACATGTCTGATCTCAGTTCTGGCTACAGAAGCCTTCATCACTGTGGCAGGCCAAGGGGAGTAGGGGAACCTTTAAGAAGGAATTCCAGACCACCTTGGAAACCTTTGCTGTCTGTCCAGATGGTCGGCTCTGCCCACAACCACGGAATCCAGTATATATATTATGCACTTGTGACTTTGCTGCTCCTCAGAAAAGAAGCGGGCAAAGGTACCTGAACAGCCCACGCCCCCTATTCAGGAAGAACCTGAGACTGTCAGTAACGTCCTACAAGGAGATGACATTCTTGCCTTAGCCATTAAGGAGGAAGACTTGAAGAAGGTGAGGATGATGTCCAGGGATCCTTCACTGCAGGAACTTTTCCCTGCCAGCCTGTATGGTCTAGAATATCAACCAGGTCCATGGTCCACCACCTTCCTACTCAGAAGTAATTTCTAATTCTATGGATAAATCCACTGAACACAAATTCTTTTCACGTTTGCATCTGAAAGAATTTACTGTGTCATTTATTTGAACACTTCTGAGATTTGTATAGAACCACAGGGAAATGAGATGATGAGGCAAGCGCCATCATCCCCATTTCATAGAGGGGAAAGGAATTTAAGATGCAAAGTTACAGATGTGGATAACCCCCATGTTTTTTTACCTGAAAGAGTCAGCCACTTCTCACCTGAGCTGTCTGGAGGCATATTATTTTTTTCCCCAGGATGTTACTAAGTCTCATGTCTGTTACCTAGGCATTCCTAGACAGAACATGTGGACAGAGCTGGAGAAACAGATTTGTCAGACCTTTAGGAATTCCACCAAGAATTAGGACAGAGGAGATGGGTGGTGTTTTTCTTCCTCCTGATCTCAAGTAGAATTCTTCTGTTTTGTTTCTTTTTAGCAACACATTCCTCACTTTATTAAAACAGAAGATAAACCTGTCATCACCCAGAAATTTATCATCCATAAACTCAAACCCAAGGATCACAGGAAGAAGGTCTGCCACTTAGTAGCACATCCTGCTACTCCGGAAGCAGCCACAAAACCCCTGGACTATTCTGGTACGCCCAGCCTTCGTTGGCCTTGGCACCCCTGGTCTCTGAATTCATGGATCAGCCTGGAGAGACAGCTCAGTCTCCATCTGAAAGTAACCCCTTTGAATTGTTTACATCAGCTAGCTACAGCTTGCCTTTCCCCTCTTCTCTTTTTCTTCCCAGGTCCAGGTGACAGCTTACTTGGCAAGGATGAAATTCTGCCCCACCACATCTTGGGGAGTCTCCAAGATTTTAAGAGAATTGCAGTTGCTCGAGGGAACACCCAGGTTTGTTAGTACAAAGCTGCCTGGGTAAGAGAAGTCCCTGAAGTCATTCAGTGTTCCCACCTGGCAGAGTCAAGCAGCACTGGGGTGGCAGGGGCAGTCCAGTCTCCTAGTCCCAGAGTCTGAGCTGGTAAGGGACTCTGCCCCAGAAATAGTGAAGCCAACTCCAGGTGCCTTAAGGAGCCCAGAGGCAAGAGTGCATCCGGCTCCAGTTTGACTGAATCCAGAAAGGCATCGGGTCAGGCCCAGTCCCCTGCCCTCTGCTTTGCTGTGTACTGGCTTCATTTTCCCTTCTCCAAACACTGGTCTGCTCTCCTCCTCATCCGCAGGTGGAGGAAGGTGGCTTCCCACAGCTCCCAGCGCCACATGAAGTCTGTCTGTCTTTCCTACTTTCCCAGCATGCTTCTCTCTGCCTCAGTTCCTTTGCTTCCTGGTTGGAAGGCAAAGAATCTCTGATTGGTCAGGTGCTAAGAGGCCTGGGGTCATATAAACTGGCTCAGTCACCCTGTAGGTGAGGGTGTCTATTACCATCAGTTGTGAGAAGGGTGGATGCACTGAAAGATCTTGCCTGCAATGAGAATAAAGTTCCATGCTGGGGGAGAGGGACCTGATGGAGGCTTCCAAGGCCCCCCATTTCTGAGATTTCTTTTCTGTCACCTGCTCCTTTAGTCCTGAAGAGGAGGGATGCTCAGCAGGGTGGGAGGATGGCAGGGAGTTGGGCCTGGAGAAGTCTCAGCTCAGCCCGGGCTCAGCACCTTCTCACACCCTGTGCTTTCCAGGTGGCTGAGCTGATACCCACCCCGCCCTGTCTGATGACCCTCAACTCAGCTGAAGATGAGCCTAAGCAGCAAGCCCCAAAACAAGCAAAGGCACAGCCCTGGGCACCACCTCCTCAGCACAATTTTCTGAAAAACTGGCAGCGAAACATAACCCTGCGGAAGAGGCAGCAGGAAGCTCTCAGCAGTGAGCAGAGCAGGCAGGCCTCCCGCCTGGCCTCACCTGGCACCAAAGCTCTGCTGCTGTCTTTTCTCTCCCTTCTTCTGCTCATAGCCTGGATTGTGGTCAATCACGTTTGTGCTGTGTTCCCCCAAGTGCTTCCTGTGCTTAGTGGGTCCTAAAATCAGCCCAGTGGTGGGCTGACCAGTGCAGAGGGTGAGGGCCCTGTTCTGATTTGGTGGAGGGGTTGCATCCTTGGCTCTCTCTCTAGAGCTCCTGAAGAAGCCGGTGGGCGATCTGCTGATGCACAGCGGGGAGACCTACAGGCGCATCCAGGAGGAGCGGGAGCTCATTGACCGAGCGCTTCCAACACTGCATGACGGGAAGGTAAGGACAGTGTTCTCAAGCGCCCTGGGAGACGAGGGTCTGGAAACTGGGGGGACAAAAAACATCTGTCCACTGCAAAGCATTGTTAAGCCCTCAAGGCCTTTACTAAATTCTATTCTTGGTCCTACTACTGGGTGTTCGGGGACTGGCCAGTTAGGTAATTTGGCCTGTCGTGGTCATTGGTAGTCAATCTGAGGAGAAAGATCACAGGTACTGAGTTACTAGCACAGTCTTAGCGTTGTCTCCTAAAAGCTGACGCTGCAGCTTTCCGATGACCCAGGGCACCATGCTGCGTGGGGGTATGTCAGCGCAATGCCCACAACAGCCCAGCCCGTCTGTCTGGGGTCAGGTAAAGGCTGCAACAGGGTATCCGGAAAGCAAGATGGGGGTGCTTCTCTGCTACTCTCAGGGCAGCCGCAGTCCCTCAGAGGGAGCATCTGCAGTCTACGGTGCTCTTGTCTTCCCAGGTGCCCCTGCCAGCCTCTCTCCAAGATGATCTGACTCATCTGCCCTCTTTTGCCAGGCCTGTGAGGAGACCATTGGGTTCTGGGGTCGACTGGAATACCTGGGAGATGAAATGACGGGTCTGCTAATGACGAAGACAAAGTCCCAGCGTGGCTTAAGGGAACCGATCGCTCATGTGAGGAAGCCCCTCTCTGTCCAGCAGGAGATGGGTGAGGAGCAGGCTGGCAATGAACCTGTGTCTGGCCTAGGAGGTGGGACAGCGTGACTGGCCTGGGATGCAGTCCCCGAGCCCTCTGGAGGTCCAGCCCCATCTTCAGTAAGGCAGTGATAAAAGCGGTAGGAGTCGGGAGGGAGCCTAGGCTCTTGGGCCCTGATGACAGCTACGAGCCACTGTGGCTGTTGAACGCCAGGAAGGTGGCTGGGAGGAACTTAGACGTGCTGTAAGTGTAAACTACACACTGGGTTCTGAAGATTGATATGGAATATATATTATTAACATGAAAAATAAATTTCATTAATTTTTTTATTGATTACATGTTGAAATAGTATTTGTGATACATTGGATTCAGCTACATTACTAAAATTCCATGTTTCCTTTTGCCTTTCTAAACACAGTGCTGAGAAAATTTAAAGTTAGCTACGTGGCTCCTGTTCGTAGTTTGCATATTTCTCTTGGGTGGCATTACTTTAAGAGATGCTGGCCTGCAGGGGTTCAGATCCCAGCTTTGTTGTATTTGTGAACTCTAGCAAGTTGCTTAACCTCTCTGGCCCTCAGTTTCCCCATCTAAAATATTGCTGGGCTCATAAGAGGGTTAAAGGAGACACTGATGTGCATTAAGAGGTTCTGGTCCATTGTCACACACTCCGTGAAAGGTAGCTGCTATTGTTATTTTTATTATAATCCGAAGTTTGGCGGTTTGGAAGCTAATTTTGCAAGAGGCCTAACACAGGCTGCTAAGCAGTAGCTGTGGGGCAAGAGTATGGGCACCCTGTTGCAGAGGGAAGCTGTATTTCCACCTTTCTCAGAAATAGCACTGGGATGGGTACTCTCAGAGCCCTTGAGAGTGGGTAGGAAGGGGCAGGGCAGCAGCCTGTGCTGAGTACCCTGGGACCCTGCTCTAGGACTGAAGTCCCAGAAAGATGCTTGGTACCTCTACACCTGGGATCGGAGTCTGTTTCTGGTCTCCCGGCGCAAGGAGTTGCAGAGCATCATGGCAGAGCTGGGTTTCAGCCAGCAGGTTGGTAATGCTCCCATGCCCAGGAGCCCCTTAGGGTGGTGCCTGTGTTCAGTCAGCAGCTAATCTTGCCTTTCTTCTTCTTTCTGAGGATATTGATGGCCTGGAGGTGGTGGGCAGAGGGCAGGCTTTCTCGACAGTGGAAGTGGAAGACTATTCAGTGTTTGAAAGCAGCCAAGAAAGCCCCGCTGAGGACACGCTGAGCTTGTGAGTTGGGCTTGGGTCCTAGGCAGAGAAGTTGGAAAATGTGGCTTTTCCCTGGCACCTACAGATGTTAAGGGTCAGGCTTCCTCTTCTGGAATCAGGGTACCTCCATCCCAGCCTCTCTCCAGTGGCTGCCACCTCCTCCTCCAGACCATTCCGATACCTGTGTTAGCTTTTCTATGACCCTCTGCTTCCTTCCAGCAACCAGCTCCTCATGGGTATCTCCCAGACGGTCTTCAATGGTAAATGTCCCCCCCACACTCTCCCAGTGCTGTGCACACTGATGGCTGTGTGTAAAGAGTCTGTACATCTAAGAAGCTCCCACCTGTAGGAACAGAGCAGGGTGAAGCTGAGCGAAAGTGGAGCTGACAATACTCCACTGGCGGCCAGAAACGGGCACTTCTCCAGACTTCCTGGCAGCTATTTCCATAGGCCATGTGGCAAGGACTGGGGCAGCCTCAGGGAAAATAAGTCAATGGTTTTTCTTACAGAGATTTATTAGCCAGCTGCCCTGATGCGGTTCCCATGCCTGTTCTTGGCCCTTCTCTGCTTTTCTGTGGGAAACCAGCTCGCTGGATCAGAGGCAGTAACCCACAGGACAAGGTAAAACTGGCTTCACCCTCATCCACCTGCTGGTAGGGCCTCCCTTGGGTGCAGTGCTGGGGGACTGCAGCAGTCACAAGGAGCTTGCATGGCCACCTATTTGCGTTTTTATCTGGTCATGTATTTAGCATGTCTGAAAATGGTTAACAGTGACACCAACTTGAGCCAGAGTAAAATCACAAGGCTGAAGAGAGTGTCACAAGCCACCCTCTTTGTACTAGCCCCCAAGCTTGTAAATTAAGCAAATATTCTCAAACAGGTATGGCTTTAAGAAGGTTCTAAAATATTCTTCAGTTGCTAAGGAGCAGAAATGTTCATCAGATGTAAAATCAGTTTTATCTCATATTACCATTGATGGCAACCTCAGACACAACCACGTACCCAGTGGTATCTGGGTATGACACCACTCCGTTTGAGGGAGGCCAGGCCCTGGAGGCCTGCAACACAGGGCTTTTGTGCTGTACCCAGAAAAGCCCCTGGCAAACTGGGATGTTGGTCATCCTAGGCCAGAACCTCCCTCAAAGACATTTCTCATATCTCTTCCTTCCCTAGAAGCATGTTGGAATCGCTGTCCGCTTGACCTTTGAAACTCTAGAAGGGGAGAAAACATCTTCGGAACTGACCGTGGTCAATAATGGCACGGTGGCCATTTGGTACGACTGGCGACGGCAGTCCCAGCTGGACTCTTTCCAAGACCTGAAAAGAAACAGGATGCAACGGTTTTACTTTAATAATCGGGAAGGTATCTAGGAGAAGCTGCCCTGCCCACCTGCTACTGTCCTTGATGTCTGTGAGGAGCAAAGTCTAGCCAGTGCCCAAGTTTGAACCCCTCTTCCCTATCTTGTCCCTCCCATTTTTTCTGTGAATTTTGTCATCTCCTAACTATTCATATCTGTTGGGGGAATGGTGAGCTCTTAAGAACAGAGGGACATGAGCCACCACTGAGCAGAAACTTTCTAGGGGTTCAGTGGCTTATATGCACAGGCCTGAGGCTAGGGTGACCAGCTGTCTCTGTTTGCTTGGAACTGTCCTACTTACAGCACTGAAAGGCCCAGCTGCCAGGAAACCCCTCAGTTCTGGGTAAACTGGGACGGTTGGTTGCCCTACTGGGACTCAGCTAACTATATATGCATAGGCTTAGGGCTTAGTCAACTTTCTCAGCTGCTCCTGCATAGTGAAACCTGTTTCTGTCCCTCTTAGGTGTGATTCTGCCTGGAGAAACTAAAAGCTTTACCTTCTTCTTCAAGTCTTTGAATGCCGGCATCTTCAGGGAACACTGGGAGTTCAGAACCCACCCCACCCTATTAGGGGGTGCTATCCTGCAGGTCAATCTCCACGCAGTCTCTCTGACCCAGGACATTTTTAGGGAAGAGAGGAAGTTAATAGAGGTAAGGGACCCAGGATCTTGGCCCCTGAGGACACCAGATAGGTTACCCTGGTGTTCTTGGCACTGCCTGAGCGATCTTATTTCTCCCAGCCTAAGAGGTGAATTTTTCACAAGCATGCAGATCTTTTTGCTCCACAAACAGTTCCCAGGACTTTGTGATGTAAAAGATGGGTGGGCAGGCAAGAGGAGGGGCAGCTTTGAGCCCCACCTGCATGGCCCCCACTGTGTTAGAAGGAAATGAGCCAACCTTAAGGTACAGTCTCCATTGAAGTACTTCCACAGCCTTTGCATGCCTACTCTATTTGTTCACTGCTGTCTGATGCTCTCCAGTGGAGTTGCCTGGAACTGGTAAGGCTAGAGAGGACAATTTGACTAGTGGGGCTGACACCCGCGAGCATGTGGGGTGGGAACTGGGGAGCCAGCCCCCAGTCCATTTCATAGCTCGCCATTTGGTGCCATTGCTTTGGGGATTCTGTTGAAAGCTGTGCTTTTTTACTGTGGTCCCCAAACATGAGCCAGCTACTCCAGCTGGGGTTCTGTCTGCAGTGATCACAGGTAATTTTGACAAATGTCATATCTACTTTACTTGGTGACTATAAGACCAACCTCTCACACAAGATATCCCTCCACTGTTCCTGAGACACCAAGTATGGCCAAGCCACGTTCTCAGCAGGGCCCAGACCTTGTGGTCCCTGTGCCTTGCCCTTCTTCCTAATCTTGGGGATATGCTGACTGTGTGACCTCCTGATCCCACTAAGGAGCAGCCTCTCTGGGACTGGGGCCTCCTCTGACTCCTTTCAGCCTCAACAAAGATATTTGGGGTTTTGAGACAGACAGGCAGACAATGGCACAAAGTCCTGAGAGATCTGGCTCTGCTCGAGGATGCAGCATGCATTTGAAAGCCTGCCATCTTGTCCACCGTCCTTTCCCCAGAACAAGTTGGCCGCCCACGAAGCAGTCACCATCGTGGAGAGCATGCTGCAGGAGCTGCTGAGGGGGGTCCTGACCCCGGAGCGTGCGCAGTCACCTGTGGACGCCTACCTCACGGAGGAGGACTTGTTCCACCACAGGAATCCTCGGGTACAGGTCCCGTACCGGCTCCTGCCCCATCAGATGTGCCCGGGGTGAAAGTGGTAGCAAACACTTCTACGTGCCAGGACCTGTTCTGAGCATCTTCCACCAGTAACTCACTTTCTCCTCAGAGCAGCCCTGTGAGATGGGTACTGTTTATATACCCATTTTTCATTGGGGAAACAGGCCCAGGAGGTTAAGTCATTTGCCCGAGATAACTTAGCTAGTAAATGGACATTTGGTGAGAAAAGAGCTTCACAAACTCCTTCATTCAAACCCCAAATCTTACTTGGAAACCCAAATACAAAAAAAATACTTCAAGTTGGAGATTCTCAGCTTGAAGGGGAAGTAGGGAGCTCCTCTGGCCTCAGCAGCTCCTGCTGGCTTCCTCCCTGCCTCCTCCGCCAGTGATTTCAAGGGAACAGGGGAAACAGAGCAGGCCCACTCAGGCTCTGGCCACCCCACGCCCTGGCCCTGCCATCACGTCTTCCCTTACCTCTGCTGCAGCTGTATTACCAGCACCAAGTGGTGCAGAACCTGCATGGGCTGTGGCGCCAGTATGTGATGTTGCCTGCCAAGGCCGAGGAGGCCAGGCCAGATGAGGAGGAGCACGTGAGCCCCAGGCCCAGGACTGCCATGGCCCAGTCGGCCTATCTGGAGAAGGCCTCAGTGAAAGTCAAGCCTTCTGTGGCGCACTGTAAGAGCCCAGTCTTGGAAACCCAGCTGCCCGGGCAGGACAATGAGGCTCTCAGCGACTCCAGAGATTCTTTCAGGTCCCAGAAGCCTGGAATGGGGGCCAAGGGTTCTCAGTGGAAGAGCGTCATGGAGGAGATCCTGGTGGAGGGGAGCCCAGACCTGGAGAGGGCCAAGAGTCCTTGGAAGCTGGATAGCCTGCTGCTACCCGAGTGGAACCTCTGCTTGGAGACCCTCAGAAAGGTGCTCCCTGACTCGGAAGGGGTTGGTGGAGTGGCCTTGGCATAGTGCCAGTGCTCCTGCACTAGCCAAGGGAGAGTCCCCACGGCCCCACATGCCCCTGTGGAAAAGAAGACAAACCTGAGGGCCCAGAGAAGGCAATCTCTTGCATCATCTTTGTCTCAGGTGCCTAGGCCAGTGCAGGAGGAGCTTCTGCTCTGACTCTGGTAAACCTTGGAGGGAGGGGTCAGGGGTATAGATTTCTGGGGCAGGTCCCAGGCTCCCACAGAAGGCACCCCAAACAGATTCTCCATGACTGCAGCCCCTCCTGGCCACCTGTCCTCACCACACCATGTCCATCACTAGAGGACCTGGATCCTCGGTATGCTGGACAGAACAGTTGCCCATGGTACCTGTGATCCTACAGGCAATGATGGCACTTCCTGAGGAGAACCAGAGAGAAGATGCCCTCATCAGACTCAACAAAGCAACCCTGGAGCTGTACCGGGAGCAGAGGCTGTTGCAGTCAGACTTCCTGCACCACACGTGGTAGGTACCCCACCAGCAGAGCTGGCTCCACCTCCTTGCCTTTAGCGGCTGGCCAGGGGTTCTGGGCAGGCAGTCCCAGGACTCCCCTTGAACTCAGGTGCTAGAAGACGCTGCAGACACTCTATGCCCGCACATCTGCCTCAGCAGTCCCCACAGCTCCCTGCTGCTGTCTGGGGAGCCGTCGCAGCAAAGTGAGCTGTGTGTTTCCTCCCATCTTCTTTCCTTGCTCGTCTTCAGCTGAGGAGAAACCAGAGGGCTGTGAGAAGAGGGGCAGAGTCCATGGAAAGCCTCACTTCTCAGTTGTTAGCCTTCCCATCACCCATTTGGAACTTGCTTGGATAGGCTTGGGAGCCTTTTGTGAGGCCCTCAGGAAACCTTGTGCAGGGTCTAGCCATGGTGCCCAGCTGGAGTTTAGACTGGCCTAACCCTAGTCTTGGGCCATGTGGCTGCTGCCTGAGGGAAGCCAGACTCCCATTCAAGCACTTGCACAGGTGCTGGTGAGGATGCTGGCTAGACAGGAGCTGGCTAGACAGGCCATGCAGTTCCTAGCACCAGTATCTTGGAAGGGAAGGACCCAAACTTCTGCAGGTTTGAGGACAAATGAAGGGTGGTGGCCTTCTCTTCAGTATGTCTTGCCCTGTAGTTTGCAGCTGTGGCGGGATATGATTGACAGCCTGGTGAGCTATTCCCTGTGGCTGAGGGCTTTGCTGGGCCTGCCTGAGAAGGAGATCATCTATTTGGACATGCCAGAAGAGCAAGGTCAGCCTCTGTGCAGCCACATCCCCCTCATGATCTTCCCCTTCCCTCGGCCCAGCTGGCAGGGTTGCCTCAGCCATGTGTACCCTTCTGGTGGAACTTCCATTAGGTTGATCCTGGGGTAGGTCCCTGCTACCCTTTCTCCTGCTCCTGGGTTTTGGCACCTAGGAGGGGCCTTAGTGATTGTCATAGTTCTGCCCCCTTGTTTTACAGGTGGAGTCTCAAAGAGGTTAAATGACTTGTCCTTACCATACAAAGGGGAGTGGCAGAGATGGGGCTAGAACCAGGCCTCTTCCCCCTGCACCCCTCTTTCTGTTCCACAAGGTCATATGCCTGAACCAGGGGCTCTGCTCTTAGTCTATGTGAGTTCTCTCAAAGCAGCTGAGAGCACTGTTGGCTCAGGACCCTTTGTGTTCCTACTCTTGCCTGTGGGATTAGCTAGACCACAGGCCACATTGTCTTCCATTCAACTCCCTTAGATCGAAAATTGCCTCCTGTCACAGAAGTGAAGGTAGCTGCTGGGAGAGCTGGGAAGGAGGACTGCCGAGGGGCCGCCCAGGAAAAGAGGCAGTTGGGGATCAGAGACAAAGAAGATACAAAAGGAGCCAAGGTGCCAGGGAAAGAGGCATGCTAGCACGGGCTGGCCTCGGGTAGGGCTGTGGGAGGTGGGCGCTCACCCCCACAGGATGCCCCAGCTCTCCCAGTGAGCTGCTCTTGAGAAAGTCCAGGACCTCCCACAGGAGCTCTTGAAGGCCATGCATGTCTCTGTCTCTCTAAGCAGGAACGTTTAAACAGCAAGAAGCACAAGGCAAAGGATAACAAGAAACCGATGAAATCTTTGAGTCGGGACAGGCTTCTGGTGGAAGACCCTGTCCCTGACTGCACTACCCCTTCTCAGGAAGCCCCAGACCCTCTGGTCATGGAGAAATACACTGAGAGGCTGCACACTGAGGTGAGGGCGAGAGCCTGGCGCCATCCTCCCCTCCACAGTCATCCCACAATGATAAGTGCCTACCCAGCAGCGATGGGAGCAGAGCTGCCCTTGTGAAGGGCATCCTGGTGTCTGAGACAGACCTCATGAATAAGTAACACATCTGTGTGTTCGGTGATGAGCAATGGAAGAGAGGCAGACCAGGGCCAGGGGGTGGGGAGGGCCCAGGTGGGGGCAGGGGGGTCTCACCAAGAAGGTGACATTGAGCAGACTTGAAGGGAGGTGAGGGGTGGCCATGTGGACCTCCCAAGGAGGAGTGTCCTAGAGAGAGCAATGAATGCAGGGAAGGGGCTGGGCCAAGAGGACAGAGAGCAGCCAGGACACCGGGAGGGAGTAGGTAGGTGGGGCTTTTTAGGCCATTGTGAGGATTTGGAGTTTTTCTGAGTGAAGTTAGAAGTCAGACAGGGTTTTGAATAGAGGAGTGATATGGACTGACTTAGGCTTTTGAAAAATCACACTCTGGCTGCAGTTTGGAAAATAGATAACAAGGGGACCAGAGCAGACAACCTTCCCTTTCTCTTGCTTCCTCTGTGAGGTGCGTCTCAGCAAATGTGTTCCTTGGGGGAACGCCATGGAAAGTGAATTTCCAACAAGTGTCAGGGTTTTGAAGCACTGGAGAGACTTCATAGTGATAGCCTGTTCAGCAGTGGGTCCACAGGGGTTCCTCCAGGTGTTGTGTTTTGTTCTTTGTTACTGTCGTTTGTTTGAGTGGGGAGAGCCACAGAGCCATACTGGACCTGTCAGTGTGTCTAGTGTTGATGCTTGGCTTCCTCTGGTGTGGACAGCTGGGTAGCTGGGATTGCTTCACACACTGTGGTAACACTCCAGACCTCATTTGATCAGAAGCTCCATTTGCAACTGGTGACATCACTGAGATTTCTGAAGGTTGATGGGGTCTAGAAAGTAATCAGAGGGCTCTGAGGACCTATGGGATAGACTCTCTGTTGGCTTTTTGAAATTAAGAATCAACTTACCAAGGCTGGTGTGGTCCAGCCCCACTGGAGGGTGCAGTCTTGGAGACACTTCAGTAAGTGGATGTGTGAACTTACAGGAGGGAAAGTTGGCCTCTGGGCAGCCAGGGTGGGATTGGGCCACCCCCAGGAGCTAGTGGGCACTGCTCCCTGGCCTCCCTGGAATTGCCCCTTTAACCACTCTAAACTCTAATGTCCAAGGGGCCAATGCAGGATTCCCTCCTAGACTTGTTTGAAAAATAAAACTATTTTCAAAAACAAAAGTCCTGCAGAAACACCCACACCTTTGGTTTTATTGTCCTCCAGCTGTTCCCTCTTATTATAGGTATGTTCCCCCTCAGCACAGTGGGCACTTCCTTGTGTACACACCTTGCACACAGCGAGCCCTTGCCTGTGATGTGTGTCCCCTTGTTCCAGGTCTATGCACTGCTAGAGGCGCTGGTGACTGACCTGATGGTCCTGGCTGACGAGCTTAGCCCCACAAAGGATGTTGAAGAGCCTTTGCACCTTTGTACCTGACTGGCTTGCCCAAGCTACCTTCTGGAAAACTGGTGAACAAATCAATGAGTCAATAAAGAACCTTTAAGTTCCTACCACCTCCATTATGCTTCAGGGTCTTAAATGTCAGGTATTGGTAAGTCATCTCATGGCCAGGTCCTCCCCATGCCCTACCTGCCCTCAGATTCCCCTTCTCCCAGCTCCTGGAGCTATCACAGGAGGTAGGAGAAACAGATCTGGTTGGTGGCCTGTGGGATGATGAATGGAATAGCAAGCTGATAGCAGGGCAGGGAATGAATCAGGTGACAGCACAGACATCACCCCTTGCAGTCCCTGCCTCGGGCCTTCCTTGGCCCACACTTTGGGTCATGCTTCCTGGAGCCAGGTCTTCCCAAGTGTCTTCACCAAGTATGACAAAGTGTGAGACTAGGAGAACTAGACCCACTGGGACCCGGCCCCCTGAGATCCCCCGACTCCAGCCGGGCCCAAGGGTATCATCCATTCCCTGAGGATCAGGCTCACCATAGCCTTAAACTCTAGAGGCCGGATCTCTTTGTCCTCAGCCAGAGACGGTTATTCTGGCTTCTAGTCTATCTCATCCCCCTCCTCATACCAAACCAGCTTGAGCCATTTTTCTGCCTTAAAAATGGCCCCTGGACTTTGTGCTGCCTGTCATGCTCTGAGAAATGTGAAGTAAGAGATGGCTCTTGGGAAGAAAGGTGCTGTCAGCTCAAATTCAGTACTGAATTCTCTTCTGTCAACAATCATCATGCTGGGCCCAGCTTCCCATGCAGAGTAGGCTGCAGGCTCCCAGAGTTTGACAAACAACTGTGCTAATGGTGGGCTTACCTGCCATGGGTGCTGATGGAGCAGAGGTGTGGGCAGGAGACCAGGAGAGCGGCCACAGTCTCCCGTCCATTTGGTTCTGCATTTGGTGCTCCTGAGAAGGACCTCATGGGCCTCAAGCATCCTCTAGTTGGGAGAGGGGAGACAGCCAGTCACTCCATTCCACTGGAGGGGCATAGAGGGGCTGTGCCTGGATCCTGATGCTCCCTTCAAGGTGGCCAAGGGGTCAGCTGGGAGCCCACAGATGGGAGAAACTCCATCAAAGTACCAGCCCCAGGGCATGGTCCTCCTGCCCCAGAGGAGGAGGGGCAGGAGAGGGGTGGGTATTGGAGCCCCCCAGGCCCCCACCCCGTGTCCTGTTGAGGAGGCAGGAGAAGGGTTAACTTACTTCAGGGTGGGAGTGGCCTGTTCGCACTGGCTCTGGGTCTACACCTCCTGGGGACAGCTAGGGCAGACAGGCCTCCCCACCTCAGGAGGTGCTGCCTGCCCAGCCAGCAGGAAGGGGTTAACCTGCCTGCCCATGCCCTTCCTCCTGTGTCCTGTTACTGCTGAGGCAGACCTGCCTGGCCAGCTGAGCAACTTTCCTCTGAGTGCTGCCTGCTGGTTGGGCATCTAGGAGGCGTGCAGGCGGGAGGCAGAGCTGTAGCCCAGTCCAGGGGTCCTGCTGCTGCCCTCCCAAGGGGTCTGCACCTCCTGGGAGAGCGTGGATCTCCAGGACAAGGGTCCGTGGTGGGTGGCTCTGAGGACGCTCCCAGGGCTGTGCTGTCCCCCTGCCGCACGGGTCAGAGGGCCACTGCAGAGGCTGCTGCTGGTCCCGGGGCTGGGACCAAGGAAGCCTGCACTGGAGGTAAGCTGGCCCCTCCCTGGCATGGTGGTACCCACATGGAAGGCGTGGGGCTTATTCTCCCTTGCAGGTTCCAGGGAGAGGGGCCAGGATGACAGGGCCATACAGGACCCTGAAGGCTTCCTGCCTGCTGCCCCTCCCTTCCTGCTGCCCCCACCCCCAGGAAGGGGAACTTTGGGAGCTCCCTATCCTGCGACTAGCATCTTTGGGGACATTCCCCCCAGGCATCTGCTTGTCTCTGCCCACCCCTCCTCCTCAACCTCTGTTGTACCTCTAGCCTCAGGGCAGCCCCCACCCCACCCCAGTGCCCCCAGGTCGCGGTTACCTCAGCGCTGACAAGCTTAGAGCTGTGGCTTATTGGCCTGTCCTCCAGCAGCAAGAGTTAGATCGCTGCCCCTCTTCCCACTGCTCACCCTTGACTGACGTGGGCCAGGGGCCCACCTTAGCAGAGGATGGGACAGGGTAGTGGGCTGGTGGGGGCACACACAGACTTTGGACAAACTCATGCATGTGACTTGAAATATCTGGGTTCTGTCTGGTTCCCTGAGCCCCTACTCTGGGGATGCCATCTGCTTCCTTAGTCCTGACAGGCAGTGCAGCCCCTCCTCCCTGTAAAGTTCTCCTTGGGGCCTTACATACAGCAGAGAGCTGTACTCACGCTTTGCCCTCCACATGTGTCCTACCCCCAGCTGGCCCTTCTGTGTCCCTAGCCTACTCCAACCTCCTCTGCCTCTGGCCTCCCCCTGCTCCACTTCGGAATTGGCCTCTCAGGCCCTGCCTTCTCAGTGAGTGTCCTTCCCTTCACTTGACAGGGTCTGGCTCAAGGTCACTGCGGTAATTCCATACCAGGCCACATGGGCCACAGCCTTAGGGGCTGCTAGGTTCTGTTTCACTCCTTTTTATTTCTGGGCATATTGTGTTCGATAAAACCCTTTACTGGTAACCCCACTGGCAGGGCTCCCAGCCGCTCCCTCCTCCCTCCTCCCTCCTGCTCCCCCCTCCTCCCTGGCACCGGGCTCCCTCGGCCAAGCCCTGCCCCTTCTTCCTCCCTACCTCAGCCCCTCAGACTTAAGGGGAGGGAGGTCCGACGCCTCCTGGGTGTTTCTGATCCCTCCCTTCCCCCAGCTCTGGTGTGCAGAAAAGGCTCCTCCATTCCACCTTCTAGGAGGAGAGGCTGGAAATGGCTGCAGGGCCCACTCTGAGGGCCCCTCCCGCTACCCCAGGCCAGGCAGCAGGGCCAGGTGCAGCCAGGCCAGGGAAAGCTCCCAGTGGAGACAGGATGCCTGACTGGTTTTGCTGGTTTCAGTGGCCAGCACTGGGAAGGGGCGTGCACTGGGGCGGGCTTTGAGATACACAATTATTTCTCATCTTGGCTCTTACCACCCACCAGCCCACCGGTTGGGGAGGTGAAGATGGGTGTGAGTCACTAGTGAGGGGGAGGGCAAGAGTTAAACGAGCGTTGGCCAGGGCATCCCCACAGAAGGCCTGCCACTGGCTGGAAGGGACAGCAGCCGACAGAAGGTAGGCAGCCCTTTCAGCTTGCGCTCTCTCCATCCGCTGGGTCTCCATGGGATCCTATCCCCTGGGCCCTGAAGAAACCTGCCAAGGCCTTCAGGCCAGGCAGCTTTGAACAGAGCCCAGAGTTGGCGCGGGGCTGGGTGGAGGGAGAGTGGAGACGGGGCTGGGGGTGGCAGGACAGGCTCCTTCTGACTCCTGCCGAGTCCCAGGGTAGAGCTGAGAGGTGCCATGCTGGTGGATGTTGGTGTTGGTGGGGGTTCATGGGCGAAGTGGAGGCACTGCAGGCCTTGCCATTGTATGTGCACACCCACACTGGTGTGTGCCCATGCTGAGAGAGGGCAGTGGCAGGGGGATTTCAGTTTTGGTTTCTGGTCCCTGGCCCTGGGAGAGCCTTTCTCTGTCTTGGGCCTGAGTTTGCTTTCGGCAGATGGCCTGGCCCTGAAGCGGTGGGGAGGGCCTTGGGATGGCCTGGATACCCCTCAGCCGGGGTATCAGGTCTACATGCACCCAGGGCCTTGGGGGTTTTGGGAGCCCAGACCAGCCTTGCCCTCCGGGAGTTTACATTCCCACTGACAAGGTGGAACTGAAATAATAAAGCAATCAGATTAATTAAATTGACATTCAAAATAGGTGACACTGACAATAGGTATTAGATTAGTCTTCTGGAGACATAGGTGTCATTCCCAGCTCTGCCACCTACACGCAGGCCATGTCCCCTCAGGGCTCTTGTGTACAGTGGGGTCATGGTGGCTAGATCTCTTTGAGAGGTAGTCTTCCCCAATACTCCACACTCTATTGCCTTCTGGCCCAGCTCATTGTATTCCCTCTGAGCCGCCCTTCCTCTCCTCACTGCCTCACTCCTCCTTACCCTCCCCTTCCCTTGGGATCTCAAGTCTCAGCTCAGCCATCACCTCCTCCGGGAAGTTCATCCTGATTTCCCTAGCTTGGGTACTCCTGTGCTGCCCTCTGCATTTCCTACACCAGACAGTGATTGTCTGCACCGTCTCAACTGGATATGGCTGGACCAGGCCTTGTACTCTGTGCCTTCCGTAGTGCCTGGCTCAGAGAAGGCCCCTAGAAACAGATGTTGAATGACTCAAGCTACAAAAGTTAATATGAGAAGAGAGGAAAATGAGGACTGATTAAGTTGGAAAGGACAGGTCTTAAGCTAGATCCTGGCAAGAATGGGAGAGGTAGCCAAGTGGAAGGGAGGCAGGTAGGCATAGCTGGGGGCCACTTTCATGTTAAGGGCAAGGACTGTGGGGTGTGTCTGCCTGGGTTAATCCTGGCTCCCCACTTACTAGTCCTGGGATCTCAGACAAGTCTTTAATCCTCCTCTGAACCTCACTTTCCCCATCTGTGAATGGAGATAATAATAGTGTATTTGTAGTATGATTGTGAAGATAAATAAGCATGCAAAGCTAGAAGTGCCAGCTTCTCATTTTACTTATTAAGTAAAATAAGAAAAAAAATTAGTATCTGCCACTGGCTGTTCTTGGCAGCAGGGACAACCTGGCCAGGGCTTGAGTAGGCAGCTGAGTGGCCAGCAAGGTGGGCCATTGCCCCTGAGTCCCAGACCCTCTCTTCCTCAGACCCATGTGGAACCCAAGGACACAGCCACCCTGCTGAGAGCACAGCGGCCCATCCTCAGAGACCGTGACCTCGCCACGGTGGCCCTCGGCCCTCCGCCTCCAGCTGGGGCAGGGGCCGCCCATCTCCAGGTCCCCGGCAATGACAACGTCCGCACTGCGGCGCCAGGTGAAGAACATCGTACACAACTACTCCGAGGCGGAGATCAAAGTGCGCGAGGCCACCAGCAATGACCCGTGGGGCCCGCCCAGCTCCCTCATGTCGGAGATTGCTGACCTGACCTTCAACACGGTAGCTTTTGCTGAGGTCATGGGCATGCTGTGGCGGCGGCTCAACGACAGTGGCAAGAACTGGCGGCATGTGTACAAGGCGCTGGCGCTGCTGGACTACCTGCTCAAGACGGGCTCCGAGCGGGTGGCCCAGCAGTGTCGCGAGAACCTCTGCACCATCCAGACTCTCAAGGACTTCCAGCACATTGACCGTGACGGCAAGGACCAGGGCGTCAACGTGCGTGAGAAGGTCAAGCAGGTGATGGCCCTGCTCAGGGATGAGGAGCGTCTCCGGCAGGAGCGAACCCATGCCCTCAAGACCAAGGAGCGCATGGCGCTGGAAGGCATGGCCATCAGCAGTGGGCAGCTGGGCTTCAGTCGTCGCCATGGTGATGACTATGGCCGCTCTCACGGTTCCCCATCCTCCTATAACTGTGAGTCCCAGGGTGTGGCTGGGACAGGGAGGCAGCCTGAGTGCCAATCCTGGCTCTGCGACCCTGAGCCACCCATGATAATACCTACCTCAGAGGGATGTCAGGAGGATCCAGTGCAATAAGGAATGTACCGTGCAAGGCACAATGCTTGGCACTCTGTAGGTGCCCAACATAACAGTAGTGTTATCATGTACTTATTACTACTGATTGTTAAGTAGCTGTCTGGGAGGATGGTGTGGTGGTAGAAGCATAGGCCTGGTGTCCAGCTGCATTCCTTATTCTGTGCCTTCCAAACCACCTCTCTGAACCTGTTTCCTCATCTGTAAAGTGGGGATAATCTCATCCATTTCAATTGTCTAGTAAGAGTTAAATAAGACTAGGCCCAGGATGCCCTGGGTCCCATGTCCAGACAGGGCACAGGGTGCTGCATCAGTGGCATTCTGCATAATCTCCCACTCGAGGGCACTGTCCCTGAAAACAGGGGTGGAGGGGGTACTCCAGAGCAGTTCTTGACTCACCTCCTCGCTCCAGTGGGGGCTTCTCTGACATGAGGGATACCCAGGATGGCCTTCTCTTCATTCAGCTCTTGACCATGGGCTGAGGGTTTAGAGAGCTGTGACCTTGATTGACAGGACCCTCTCACCCTCCCACCTCACTTGACCCCAAGCAGGATGGGGCCCAGCTGGAAGAGCTCAGGAACTGGAGTCAGGGGACCTGGGTTCAGATCTTACTGGAGGACTCTGGCCAGGCACCCCTCAGGGCTGTTTGTATGTCTGTAAAGGAGGAATTGGAACCTTTACTGGGAGTGGAGTGGGAGTCCTTACAAAGAGTGGCATGTACACTGCCAGACCCCTGGAGTCCCCTATTGCCAGTTGCTCCCTGCCTCCTATTTCCATCTCTGAGCCTTAGCTTCCTTGGTGGGGGCAGGGAGGCCCAAAGGCACCTATGTGGTTACAGAGGTCACCATGCTCCTTGCAGCCTCCTCCTCATCTCCCCGCTACACCTCTGACCTGGAGCAGGCCCGGCCCCAAACGTCCGGGGAAGAGGAGCTGCAGCTGCAGCTGGCCCTGGCCATGAGCCGAGAGGAGGCTGAGAAGGTGAGGCTCCAGCTGGGATGGTGTGGGGAGAGGTCTGGAGGGAGTAAGGAGAGGTGCCCGGATGCCCTCCACTCTTCACTCCTAGGCTCCTCTACTCTGGGCCCAAAAGCCCAGTCCTGCTTCCAGGGACAGCACAGGGCCTGTCCGCATCCCTGAGACTTCCTGGAAGGGAGGGCCTCCCTGCCTCCAGTGCCTTCTGGCTGGGCCTGCAAAGGACAGTGAGTGTGTAGTGGGTGGGAGCATTGTGTGTCTCCTGCTGCTACCTCATGGAGGGGAAGGGGGTGTGCTGACAGATATTCCTAGGAAGCACAGAGATATGCTGCCCCCATCAGCTGTCCTTTTCGGGGGCAGATATAACCCCACAATATCATCTTCTTTGCCATCACCTCTGTGGATCCAGAGAGACAGGAAGAAGCTGAGCCTCACACAGCAGGGCTTGGAGACCACTCAGGAGACCCAGAAGAAAGGGATATTTAAACTGCATCTCAGATCCAGGCAGAGGCCACACCCACACTGCTGTCTGGGGACAGCTGCCCACACTCAGGGTGGGCACCTCTCTCTCTAACCCCCTTACCTGTGCAGGCCTATGTTGCCCTCCGAAAAGCACTGGGCCAAGTTCACTCCTCTTTTCCTCCCTCGCAGCCGGTCCCCCCGGCCTCCAACAGGGATGAGGACCTACAGCTGCAGCTGGCTCTGCGCCTGAGCCGGCAGGAGCATGAGAAGGTAGTGGGCAGAGCCTCCTGCCCTGGTGCTGGTGCTGGTGCTGGTGCTCCTCGGGCACTAACCAGGGTCCTTCCGCTTCACCTGGTGGCCCCACTGCACCTGACCTCTTGGTTGCCTCCCACCTTGCACTCTTCTTGACTCTGGCTCACATCCCCTCAAGGCTACCTGAGCTGCTCTTGCTCCCCTCACTCCTTCTGTGCCTTCTGCAGGAGGTGCGGTCCTGGCAAGCTGCTGACTCCCCCATGGCCAATGGTGCTGGGGCCGTTGTCCGACGCTGGCAGGACAGAGAGCCAGGGAGAGAAGAGAAAGAGGAGGAGAAGCTGAAAACCAGCCAGGTAGAGGGGTAGCAGTAGGCCTAGGGTTGCATGGGCTGACAGACCCTAGGAGGTGAATTAATAGTTGAAAGAGTATGGAACGGCATTTGGTATATAGTAAGCACTACTTGTGTTTATTCAATGAAAACCGGGGCGGAAGGGTGGAGCAGCCCCTGGTCCCACACCCCATGCACTGCAGGACTGAGCTGACAGCAAAGTGGGATGCAAAGAATCCTCATGGGTGACCACTGAATGTGGACTCTGGATTTTCTGCCGCCTACTATGAGACTTGGGGTACATCACTGTTGTGGCCTGTTTCTTCCTCTGTACCGTGGGCTTTTTGGATAGTTCCAGCTCTGACATTCTAGGATGATATGATACTGTGGGTCCAGTCTAGGGATGGACTCAGGCATATGGTGCTGAAAACATCTTGGACTATACCTAATTTCCAAGACAGAGGGAGTGGGTGGCTGCTGGGAGCAAGGCCTCCAAAGCTGTCCATGCTAACCCTGGGGTAGCTCTGTTTCCTTTCTGCCCATGTTTGCTTTGGCCAATTTCTCTTGGACACTGACTTAAGAAGGTAGACATGTCATAAAGTCTTTTACTACCATGGGACGAGGAGCAGGACAACTCAGGAAGAGGTCAGGCAAGCCAGGGTTCTATCCCTGCTCTGCCTTTCCCTGGCTGTGTGACTTCAGGCAAATCTTTTCCCTTCTCTGGGCCTCAGGTGGTGCATCTGTAAAATGGACACCCCACTACCTGCCTACCTACCACACAGGGTCATGAAAAATCAGGCAATAACTGGATGGGGAAACATTTTATAGACTGAAAAGTACAATACAGAGGTGAAGGATCATGAATAGATGTTTGTGAAATGAATAAAGGAGAGAATGAGCTGGAGTGAGGATGACAGGTCAGGGACCACCCTTCCTCTGGCCCCGCCCACTTCTGAGCCATGGCTGCCTCTCCCCTCCACAGTCCTCCATCCTGGACTTGGCGGATATCTTCACACCCACCCTGGCCCTGCCCTCCACACACTGCTCTGCTGACCCATGGGACATCCCAGGTGGGCACGCAAAGCTGCAAGAGGCTCCCAGGCTGGCTCCAGAGAGACCCTTTCTTCCCAGCCACTTGCTGGCATCCTCCTTCCCCAAAGCGAACAGCTACTGGGCAAGTCCCTCACCTCCCTCAGCCTCAGCTTCCTCTGTGACACGGGCTGTAGTAAGGGATGGAGGAGCCCAGTTTGTGAGAGATTCAAGAGATGTTCTCTTCTTGCTCCTGGTCACCCTGGCTTTCCTACCCCCAGCCCTTCCCTGACTGGGATGGTGGCCTGACCTGCCCATGCCTGGGAGTCCAGGCTCCTGGGATACCTTGCTGAGTAGGAGCTCCAGGTTGCTGAGTGGGTCTGAGTCAACATCCTATCTGTGAAGCTGGTCTGTTAGCCTCCCAGCTTGGTCTGGGTGACTGGGAAGGGCCCTGGACAAGAGGGTTAAGGGTGGATCTGGGGTCATCATGTCTGTGCTGTTCCTGTTACAGGTCTCAGGCCCAATATAGAGCCCAGTGGCTCCTCCTGGGGGCCTTCTGCAGACCCCTGGTCTCCTGTCTCCTCGGGAAGTGCCCTGTCCAGGAGCCAGCCCTGGGACTTGCCTCCCATGCTCTCCTCCTCTGAGCCATGGAGCCGGACCCCAGTGCTACCTGCCAGAGCATCCAACGCAGACCCCTGGGCACAGGACTCCCCCCATAAACTCCCTGACACTGGGGCTGACCCTTGGGGGGCCTCAGTGGAAACCTCCAACATGCCTGGTAAGTGGAGGGTGAGAGGGTATGGGTGAGGGGCTAGAGGGCTTCTGAGTGGCCCCCTTTCAGTTTGAGGGGGCAACAGCATCCTGTGTCAAAAGGGCTGCTTACTTGGAAAGGGGTCAGACAAGTACCTAACTTTTTTGCCAACTCATCTCCCTCGTCCTCCTTGGCTAGCTCTAGGTGGCACCTCGACCTTTGATCCATTTGCCAAACCTCCCGTATCCACAGAGACCAAGGAAGGGCTGGAGTGTGCCCAGGCCCTGCCCTCTGGGAAGCCCAGCAGTCCTGTGGGTAAGCAGGAGGCAGGAGTGATGCACCTCTTGGGCATGAAGGGCCCACCCAGACCTGGCGTCTGCCCTCTTCCTCCCACAGTGACCGTCCCCTCTCCCTACCAATGAGTCCTATCATTTCTCTTTTAGCGCTGGATCTGTTTGGAGACTCCATCCCCAGTTCCAAGCAAAATGGCACCAAAGAGTCAGATTCCTTTGACCTGAGTGTACTCGGGGAAGCGTTAACCCAACCCAGCAAGGAGGCAAGAACATGCCGGACTCCTGAGTCCTTCCTGGGTCCCTCCGCCTCCTCCTTGGTCAACCTTGACTCATTAGTCAAGGTACCCCAGGCTGCAAAGACCCGGAACCCCTTCCTCACAGGTAGGACAACCCGTCATCCCTGCAGGAGTTCAACACTGGGGACCCCTGCTTTCTCTCCATCTCTCTTTTCAAAGCCCAAACCCCTGCCCTAAAATCTTACTCTTCTTCCCTATTTCTAAGATCCCACTTAGGGCTATATCCCTAGGCCCGCTCCAAGCCCCCACCCACTGTCGTTCTGCAGGTCTCAGTGCTCCATCCCCCACCAACCCGTTTGGTGGGAGCGAGCAGGGCGGGCGGACCCTGAATCAGATGCGCAGCGGGTCGCCGGCGCTGGGCCTGGCGGCCAGCGGGCCCATCGCCGCGCCCTTGGGCTCCATGACCTACAGCGCCTCCCTGCCCCTCCCGCTCAGCAGCGTGCCAGGCGGCGTGACCCTCCCCACCTCAGTCAGCGTCTTCCCACAGGCGAGCGATTTCACACCGCCGCCCGCAGGCCTGCCGCAGCCCCTGCTACCCTTGTCGGGCTCCGCGGGGCTGCTCAACCCGCCCCAACAGGACGGTACCAACCCCTTTCTTTAAGGGTCTTGCTGAACTGGGCCGGCCGGCGCAGGCGCGCGAGTCCCCGTCCCCGGCGCGAACCGCCGCTGGGCCCCGCCCCGCTGGCGCGGGGCGCGGGGCGGGGCGGGGCTGCCATCCCAGGACCCGCCCAGGAAACGCGGAATGGCTGAGACTCCGCCCCCAGGCTCGCCTGGACCCTTGTTCGGGCTTTTCGCACACCCTTCGCTACTCCTGGAGCCGGAGACTGACCACTTCCCGGGGGCCGAGACCACGCCCATGTAATAAAGACCGGAACCCCGGTCTTCCACTCTCAGCAAGTAGACTTCTGCCGGACGTAGCTGCCCAGTCTGGACCACAGCGGGAATCACCAGCTGCCCACTGTGCAAACAGCTGCTCCACAACGTGGGGCTCAAAATGCTGAAGCTTCCCATACAGCCCCCCTCAGCCTGGCACCTTCGCTTCCAGATGCTCCCCAAGCTCTTACTCATTTGGTCATTTATCTCACGTGGGCACTGGGGGTGACCTAATAGCAAGGAACGATAGGCAATTGCCATTTCTTGGCTAAACACTTAGAGCAGATTATTTAATTTAATCCTTGCAATAACACTCTGAGGTAGATAATATTACTTCCCTTCAGGACTGGCTACATAATAGTGGGGCCAAGTGCAAAATGGAAATTCAGAGCCCTTGTTCAAAATTGGGTTAAGAAATTCAAAATGGGGACAGCAGGACATTAAACCAAGTGCACCTGTCCCTGTCTCCATTTTATAAGAAGGAAACTGAGGCTTTGAGAAATTAAGTGGCCTTCTCAAAGTAACAGCTAGCATAGAGTGGGGCTGGGATTCAGTCTCAGTCTGGTTCCACATTCCTGAGCTGGGCTACACCCCAGATTTAGTTTGCAAATATTGACTGACTGACTGGACAAAGTGCTGGGCTCACCTGGGAGCGATCAAGAATTGCTAAACTCATAGCCTCCAGGATCTCAGAATTCAGTGGGGCTGGCAAGCCACAGGAGGTCTCCTGCTCCTATTACTGACTCACCTTACATCTAGCTCTACACCCCTCGTTTCCCTCACCAGGGCTGGCAAAGAAGTCAATCTCAGGCATGCAGAGGGAGCCTGACCCCTCCTGTGGTCTTATGTGGGGTCTGGGAAACCTGGGCAGAACCTGGCAGAAACTGGGGGCCACCATGGTCACCCTCACACCCTTTCTACTCAATGCCCTCCAGCCACTGGACACTCGTGTGCCCTCAGGGCTCAGAGTCTGACTCTGAGGCGGGCTGCTGCCAGCCCCCACCCCTTTCCAGGCCCTTGGGGAAAATGGCCTTCCATAAACCAGAAACACCAAAGTCCTGGGGAGAAGACAATGCTGATTTCCTTCTTGGTGGGGTTGGGGAAAGTTGCTTTGTTTTTTTGGAAGGAGGGAATCCTATCATGGCTCTTACAGGCAGGATGGTCAAGAACACCTACTTAGGAGTCAGACAAACAGAGTTCAGAATTCTGTTCTATGGTTTGTACATAATAATAATAATAATCACTTAGTAATAAGCAGTTATGCTCCCTGATTGAGTAAATTACTTAACCTCTCTATGACTCTGTGCCTCTGTTTCCTTACTTGTCAAACAGAAACTAGACTTCCTTCCTTATGAAGTTGTGTGGCTCCTCCCAGGCCAATGTCCATTCAGCTCAGGGCCCACCCTCCTCAGAGACTAATCATGAGGAATAACCCTACTTTACCCCTCATTCTGATTGTGCTAGGCAGTGCCCAGAGGCCAGCTCCCATCTGTCTTCTGCTGTCCACCCCAGAGAGGTCTCCACCCCTCTTGGTTGCTGACCCACCCTTCACCCCTCCCCTGCCTGGTCCCTGCTCTTCTAAACTGGCTATCCTTTGTGAACAGTACCCTAAGGACTCCCAAATGGTGCTGTGTTTTTTTTTTGGACTGGCTTTTATTATTTTTATTTTGCTATTATTAATGTACAATTACATGAGCAATATTATGGTTACTAGACTCCCCCTATTATCAAGTCCCCACCACATACCCCATTACAGTCACTGTCCATCAGCGTAGTAAGATGCTATAGAATCACTACTTGTCTTCTCTGTGTTATACTGCCTTCCCTGTATTCCCCCACCCCGCCCCGGCTACATTATGTATGTTAATCATAATACCCCTTTTCCCCCCTTATCCCTCCCTTCCCACCCATCTTCCCCAGTCCCCAAAGGGTGCTGTTTTGACTCCCACGAAGAAGAGGTTAGCAACCTTGTTTCCCGTAGCTACTTCTGGACCATCTTCCTCCTGTAAGACTCTCCTTGGAGGCGGGAGCCACAGGCTGTCTTGCCTCCTCTCTACCTGGCGCTGTGCTCTACCTCATTCTTGCCATGCTTCCAGCCTGGATCACAGCCTTCTTCCTCAAATCTTGCTCAATCCCATGTGATTCCTTTATCCAAGAGGATGATCTTGCCACCCCTTGACCTCTCAGCTACCTTTGCCCATGGTCACACTTTGGGTCTTGTCCTCACCCTAGTCCCTCCACATTCAAGGCAGGCTTCCTGTTCTCTGATCTTAATCTCAGTCCTTCCAGGGAGTACCCACCAGACCCTCCAGCCTGCCAACCCTTCTGTCACCCCATCACCCAACCTTCTCAGAGATCTCTTTTCTCCTTGATATTGTCAATTGCCTTCTCTCAACCAAATCCTTCCCCTTGATAATTGTCATAGCCTCATCCATCTTGAAAGTGTCTTTCCATATTTCCCCTCACATCAAGCACCCATCCTATCTCTCTGCATCCCCTTTCTTTCTCGTCCCTCCTCAACCCACTCCAACCAGCTTCTCTGTCAGCCTCACCTCACTGAATGCACCTGCCAAACCTACCAATGGTCTCCATGTTGCTAAAGCCAGTGTACCTTTTTCTTTCCATCCTAGCAGCTTCTCTGGAGCCTGACCATGTGGATCCTCCCTCCTTGCAAATCTCTGTCCCTTTGCCTCTGGGTCATCACCCTCTCCTGGTTTTCCTTTGACCTTCTGGCTCTTCCGTCTCTGTCTTTCACAGGTGCACTCCTGAGTCCCCCAGGCTGGGGCCTGAGCCCCCCTTCTCTCCTCACTGCAGTCTCCCTGGATGATGCCCCCTGGTTTCTTCCATGACCTCCCCTCTGCATTGCAGAGCCTTGTCATCTCCACATATGTGTCTCAAGGGAATTTCAAACCTACATTCCAAGAATGATCTCATGAACACCCCCACCTGAGCCTTTCCCCAACCCCCTCCTTGAAAATGGCCTCACCACTCAGCACAAGCCCCACTTTGCAAATCACTCTTAGTACCTCCCTCTCCCTCACTGCCAATTTTGACGTTTCCTCCTCTACAGACCTTGAGGCCATCTACTCTTGATCTCCACCTACACCTGGTATAGGGCCCCACCATCTCCCCCAGAGCCTGCTAAGGCCTCCTAACCATGCCTGCTTCCACTCTTACTCCTTTCAAGTCCATTCTCCACTGGAAACCAGAGGGATCTTTGTAAAATGTAGGGTCACTCCCTTTACTAAAACCCTCCAACATCTTCTGCTCTCATCAGTAACCAAAACTCCTTTTCATAGTTCACAAGTCCCTCCAAGACCTGCCCTCCTCCCCAGCCTCACAACCTCATCTACTACCTTTCTTCCTTAGTTCTCTGTCCTGCAGCCATGTGGGCCATCTGCAGTTCCCCAGCACTGACTCATTGCCACACCACAGGGCCTTTGCACATCTGTTCCTCCTGCTTCCCCAGCATTCTTCTCACACCCTCTCTGGATTCCATCCTCTTGTTCTTCAATGGCTGCTACACAAAGGTGATTTCCTCAGGGAAGCCTCCACCCACTCCCCACTCCCCCACCCCACCCCTGCCACCACTGCCTCTCCCACCAGACCAGGTTTCTTGTCATACCTAGTCATGCCACTAATTACAGTGGGTGGTTGTACATTAATTTGTATGGCTGTCAGATTAGCTTCTGCCTCCCTCATCAGACTGTGAGCAACACAAGGGGAGGAGTCTGGTTTCTCTCTGCCCATCATTGTACCTAGCAGAGTGTCTGGCAGCCAGTGGGCATTCAATATGTATTGGCAGAATGTAGCAAATGGGACAAGGGTGTAAAGTACATGATAGGACATAAAGTTGGCTCATCATTATTATTCAGAGAAGGCTTCTTGGAGTGCGTGGGATTTGAGCAGAACCTTGAGATGGAGAGGACAGGCAAAAGCAAAACTCACTGGTGGATGGGCCTGGAAAACACATGCCTTCTGCTTGCACCTCATTTCCCATTTGTAAAATGGGCAAGGGTTGGACAAAATGAGCTGAGACTGGCATACCGAGGTCCTGGCATCCTCACAGCCCTCCACGTTCTCCTCATGGGGGTTATGCTTCCGCAGGCAGCTGGTTGAGATTCAGCTGAGCCATCCCAATTTTGTGCACAGACCTGGGTCCTGTCAACCCCGGGCTGTTGGGTCTGCAATCCCTCATTCAGCCACCGGGAGGCGCTCGGAGACCAGCCTCGCCGCCGGGAGTTTCGACTAAGACCCGCCTGTGTGCGGCTCGGTGGATGCTCGGGCCCGCCTCTCACAGCCTCGGGCTCTCAGTCGTGTACGCGGTGTCTCGGCCCACAGCCGCGAGTAGCCGGGCTGGGCGCGCAGACCCGGCAGTGCCGCGGCCTCCTGCTGCCCCACCCTGGGCCGGGCCTCGTCGCGAGCCTCAGATACGGGTGAGTGAGTGGGCCGCTGTGGCGCGTCCTGTGTCTGGGGGGCCCCGGGACCGGTCGTCCCGGCGCTGGTCCCCAATGCGTGCCCGATCACCTCCTCATGCCTGTCCTCCCCGCACCCCCAGTCTGCTCCCACGACCTGACCCAAGCAGCCATGCCCTCCTTACCCCCGCCCCCCCTGGGGGGGCCGCAGGGCTAGCTCCCCAGGGACTCTGTTCTGACACCTCCTCCAGGAAGCCTTCCTTGAACCACAATTCTGGGCCAAGGGTCCTTGTCCAACAGTACCCTGGGCTGGCCTGTCACAGTTCTTATTTCTGCAAGGGTCTGCCATTATTTAGGTCTGCTCTGCAGCACCACCTGCCTAGGCTGAGCCCCCTATCAGAGCCGGTTTCTGATTCTCTGGGGGTCCTGGGATCCTGGCACAGGACCAGGTTTCTCAGGAGTGCCCAGTGAGTGGAAGTTGAGTGAGGAAGTCCCCATTGTTGATTTTCCTCTTGTTGCCCCTCACCGGGGCCAGTCCCAAACCCAAATATGCTTGCTGTCCAGCTACCAGCAGTGTGCAGCCTTCCTGCCCAGATGGCACACCCAGTCATGCCAAGGAGACATCCCCAGCAACCCCCCCGGGGGAGGGGCCCTGTTAGGGGGACAGAATGGAGCCTTATGGACAATTCTACCCGCTGTGACTCATGCTGACCTCACAGTCATCATCCTTGCCGCCACCTGGTCCAAGGGGTTGGGGGAGGCTAACCTGGCAGGGAGTCCCAATGAGCCACATTTCTTCAGCCCCCAAAAAACACAAGGGGGGTCACAAGGGTCTCCCCCGTGGTTCAGAAAGGTAGGTGGGGCTGGGAGCCGGATTCTGGGAAGGGTGCTTGGAGTGGGGTGGGGTGGGGCAGGCCCCTGTGGTAGGTGGGTGGGGACCCTTTGCCTGACCCATCTGCCCATGCAGGGGTAGCTCCTCCCGGGACAAGGACCGAAGTGTGACAGTCAGTAGTTCAGTGCCCATGCCTGCTGGAGCGAAGGGAAGCCAACCCAAATGCACCCAGTCCACCCCTCAGAAGGTCCCCAATCGCCTGATCAATGAGAAGTCACCATACCTCCTGCAACATGCCTACAATCCTGTGGACTGGTGAGTACCTCTCCCCAAGTGACGCTCTCCTCCAGGCTGCTGGGTCTCAGCCCCTTTTCCCTCCCCTCAGGCTTATAAGTGGTGCCCTACCCTGCTGACCTAGGTACCCCTGGGGAAAGGAAGCCTTTGACAAAGCCAGGAATGAAAACAAGCCAATTTTCCTTTCAGGTAAGACACCTGCCTTCCCTGGGATAGAGGGTGGAGGAGTGATAGGGGATAGGGGAAGGGTCCTCTGGACCTGGGACCCCCAGGAAACTAGAGGTCAGGGTCTCTTCAGTCCAGCTTGGGCCCCTTGACTGGCCTTCCTTGTGGTCAGTCACTCTGCCCGCTGGGCCCCCCATGGCCCCATTCTAGTGGGATACTCCACCTGCCACTGGTGCCATATGATGGAAGAGGAGTCCTTCCAGAACGAGGAGATTGGCCAACTGCTCAATGAGGATTTTGTCTGTGTGAAGGTGGACCGGGAGGAGCGACCTGATGTGGACAAGGTATACATGACCTTTGTGCAGGTGAGTGGTCTTCCCATGGAGGGGTGGGGCGGGGGTTGCCTTTGCACTAGGGCCACTCCCCTCACCCTTGCCCCTTCTCTGCTAGGCCACCAGCAATGGTGGGGGCTGGCCCATGAATGTGTGGTTGACTCCCAACCTCCAGCCCTTTGTGGGGGGCACCTATTTCCCCCTGGAGGATGGCCTGACCCGAGTTGGCTTTCGGACGGTGTTGCTGAGAATACGGGACAAGGTGGGTGTGCATCAGGGAGTGGGGAGACCAAGGTCAAGGGCGAGGAGACAAGGGGCCCCACCCATGCTGACTTCCAGGTCTGCCCCTGCCTCCTATAGTGGAAACAGAACAAGGGTGCCCTGCTCGAAAACAGTCAGCGTGTCACCACAGCCCTGCTGGCTCGGTCGGAGATTAGCATGGGTGACCGCCAGGTGCCACCCTCTGCTGCCACCATGAAAAGTCGCTGCTTCCAGCAGCTGGACGAAGGCTATGATGAGGAGTACGGTGGCTTTGCTGAGGCCCCCAAGTTCCCCACACCGGGTCAGTGCCCCCCTCATGCGTTCCCTCCCCCAAGCCTGGCCTTCAAATATCTGTCTTGAACAATGATCTTCTGACCCCTGGCTGGTCATTAACCTCCTGCTCTCCTGACTGGCCCATGACCTCCTGACCTATTGAGGGAACTCCTAACCCCAGCCTAGCCAAGGGCCTCCTAATCAGGGATCTCTGCCCCCTGCCCCCTTATCCTCTTACTTGCTGCTCCTGGTGCCCACAGTGATCCTGAACTTCCTGTTCTCCTACTGGCTCGATCATCAACTAACCCAGGATGGTTCCCGGGCCCAGCAGATGGCCTTGCACACCCTGAAAATGATGGCCAATGGGGGTATCCGAGACCACGTAGGGCAGGTGATGGGGGCTAGGCATTTCCTGGAGGGGGCAGCAGGAGGCAGCAGGGTTGGAGGCAGAGGCTGGGATCAGCCTCCAGCCCTGTCTCTCACTTGGTACAGGGCTTCCACCGCTACTCCACGGACCGCCAGTGGCACGTCCCACGCTTTGAGAAGATGCTGTATGACCAGGGGCAGCTTGCAGTAGCCTATTCACAGGCCTTCCAGGTGACCCCTGACCCCAGCCTAGAGCAAGGACATCCAGCCTGTCCACCTACCTCTCGCTGCCCTTTCCAGGGCCTTCTTGGGGACTTGCAGTTCCCCCATAATCTCACTCCTAATTCCCTCCCATATGCCTGCTATCCAGGCTCCCTCCTCACTCTCCTGGGAGAATGTTGACTGTCTGTCCACCCTCGACCCCCAGTCCTCTCCTGGGACCTCTGCTTACATCCTCCTTCCCCCGACCCCTCAGATCTCTGGTGATGAGTTCTATGCTGATGTTGCCAAAGACATCCTGCAGTACGTGTCTCGGAACCTGAGTCACCGGGTGTGTGTCCACTGAGGCAGGCGGGCCTGGCTGCGTGGGGTCTAGGGGCATTCAGGGACTCTACTGCCCTGAAGGCTGTGACCAGCCAGTTCTCCCCTCCTTACAGTCTGGAGGCTTCTACAGCGCTGAGGATGCAGACTCGCCCCCGGAGAGGGACATTCGGCCCAAAGAGGGTGCCTTCTATGTGTGGACTGTCAAAGAGGTCCAGCAGCTGCTCCCCGAGCCTGTGCTGGGTGCTACCGAGCCGCTGACCTCGGGCCAGCTCCTCATGAAACACTATGGCCTCACAGAAGCCGGCAACATTGGCCCCAGTCAGGTAAGGATGCCTGGGGACATGGGAGGGGTCCTGAAACCAGATAGGTGAGTGGACTCCCTTGGACAAGGGCTCTTTCCCTCAGGACCCCAAAGGGGAGCTGCAGGGCCAGAACTTGCTGAATGTCCGGTATTCGCTAGAACTGACTGCTGCCCGCTTTGGCCTGGACATGGAGGCTGTACGGACCTTGCTCAATACAGGGCTGGAGAAGCTCTTCCAGGCCAGGAAACATCGGCCGAAACCGCACCTGGACACCAAGATGCTGGCCGCCTGGAACGGTGGGACTGCGGTGTCTTGAGGCTGATCCCATTTATAGAATCACCCTTCACAGGGCCCTTCTGTATGTCAGACACCTGCTAAATATTAATTCTTCCTTTACCAGGTTTATTCTTAATTTTCAGATTGTACTGAGGCTTAGACAGTTTAAATAACTCACCCATTGTCACACCTCAGCCCAGCCTTGCCTGGCACTGGAGCCCAAGCCCTTACTTGCTCACCCTGTTGCTCCAGAGAAGTGTCAAGTGGGGTGGCCATGCCTGGAGAGCCAGCCAGCTTTTCATGACCACCTCCCTCCAGGACTGATGGTGTCTGGCTACGCTGTGACGGGGGCTGTTCTGGGCCTGGAGAGGCTGATCAACTGCGCCATCAATGGGGCCAAGTTTCTGAAGCGGCACATGTTTGATGTGGCCAGCGGCCGCCTGATGCGAACCTGCTACACAGGCTCTGGGGGGACCGTGGAGCAGAGGTGGGAGACCAAGCAGCCCAGGAAGGCTTGTCTCCCTAGACAACCTTGGCTTTTCTCTTCCCCTTTCCTCTCTTCTGGGTAGCCTCTGGTCCTGGCTTAACCATCTGCCTGCTGTGAGCTCTTAACTTCCCTTTACCCACTTGCTCATCTGGGATATGGGTTAATGGTACCCAGCATAGAGGCAGATTTTGAGGGTAAAGTGAAAGAATACATGAAAAGGCCTCCTTTGGGAAAACCCCCTTCTCCCTGGGCCTGTCCCCAGCCGGTCGCCTAATGCCTGTTCCTACAGCAACCCGCCCTGCTGGGGTTTCCTGGAAGACTACGCCTTTGTAGTGCGGGGCTTGCTGGACCTGTACGAGGCCTCACAGGAGAGTGCATGGCTCGAGTGGGCTCTGCGGCTGCAGGACACACAGGACAGACTCTTCTGGGACTCGCAGGGTGGTGGCTACTTCTGTAGTGAGGCTGAGCTGGGGGCTGGCCTGCCCCTGCGTCTGAAAGACGGTCAGTGGTGGGTGTGTAGCTTGCCTGGGGTGCTGGACCCAGTTGGGACTTGGTTTTCCCTCGGGGAGGCACAAGGCAGTAGAGTGGTAAAGAGCTGGTGTGGCAGGGGCTTGGCCTTCCTGGGGCCATCTCTCCCATTTATTAACTGCATAATTTTGGGCTGGTGTCATTATTTTCCAGAGCTTCAGTTTCTTAATATGTGAAATGGAGCTAACACTGGTATTACCTTATAGGGTTGATATAAAGATTAGCTATTCTGTGAACATGCCTAGCAGCAGTAACTGGCACATTTGGATTCATTTATGAAACAAAGCTGACTTGATCCTTGTCTTCAAGAACTTTACAGTGTAGTAGGGGAGACAACTAATAAAAAGCCATGCTTAATGCAGAAATGCACACACAAACACACAGCTAGCCCTGTGAATGCTGTGAAGAAGTAGGTGCCTCTCTAGTGCACCCTGTCCCCTCACCTTTCTCAGTTAGGCTTACCCATCACCTGATGCATCTGGTCTGTGAATGCTCTCTCTCCCCCAACTCAAATGTAAGCATCCCGGGAATAGGACTTTGTCACTGCTGTATCCCCAGGATCTAGTGCAGGCCTGACACATAGTAGGTACTCAAGGAACGTCAGCTGAATGAATGAAGGGGCCTTGAGAGGGGACAAGTGGGGTCCAACTCAGCTGTGGAGAGGTCAGATTGAACCTGTGACAGCTGTCATCTAACCAAGGGCTGGAGGGCAAGATGGGGCCTTGTGATCACGGAGGGCTGGGGAGGGATTTCAGGTAGAGGGAGCAGCCTGTGAGAGGCCCAGAGGAGAGGGGCCAGAGGCCAACATGTGGGGTGGAGGGAGTGTAAGTGGGTGGGGCTGGCTCCCTGCAGGGTCTTGAAGGCATGGCAAGGAATGGAAGGCTCTGGAGGGCTTAAAGTGGACTGTGATCTGCTCTGGTTAGATCTAAGAATGCCAGGGAAACAGGATGACCAGTTAGGAGACCATCAGTGGCATTCATTCCAGGCAAGGGCTGGTGAAGGCCCAGACCAGGTGAAAGTACAAGATGAAGAGAAGTAGGAGGACTTGAATCTATTCTGGCTGCAGACCCAGCAGACTTGTGGGTAGATTAGAAGTGGGAGGTGAGAGATCGAGGGAGCAGCAAGGAGGATGCCACTTGGGCTCAAGCTGCTAGGTGGCTGGATTGGGGTGTCAGCAGTGAGATGGAGGAGCCTGGAGACCAGCCATTCAGCCAGGGGCAAGTGGAGAGCAGGGAGTGTCAGACAGCAGAAGAGGTCAGACCTGGGGCAGGGGCCAGTGGGCAGGGACTCAGCTCCAACCCATCCCCTAGTAGCCCTGACCACAGTCCTATGGCAGGACCCTGAGACCCAGTGATCCTGCCTCAAAGCTCCCATCCCCTGTGCCTGCAGACCAGGATGGCGCAGAGCCCAGTGCCAACTCTGTGTCAGCCCACAACCTGCTTCGGCTACATGGCTTCACGGGCCACAAGGACTGGATGGACAAGTGTGCGTGCCTGTTGACTGCCTTCTCTGAGCGCCTGCGCCGTGTCCCTGTGGCATTGCCTGAGATGATCTGCGCCCTCTCGGCCCACCAGCAGACCCTCAAGCAGGTCTGGGGTGTGTGTATGTGTGTGTGAAAGTGTTTGGATTGGGACCCTAGGTGGGAGCGGAACTAAGGCCACAGTCGGGGGTCGGAGGCATGGGGTGGGGGTCCAAGGCTGTCCCCCAGCTCAGGTCTATGAATATGTGGGCAAGTGTCCCCACAGGGGCATCTCTGTAGGTGGAGGCCTCTGTGAGTGTGTGTCTGAGGAGCAGTGTTAGTGCCTGTGACAGGGCCTCAGAGTGGCAGGGGCAGGAGGCAGGTGCCAAATATGTGGTTGAAGTGTTTCTCTGCATGTCTCTGTATCCATGTGATTGGTTGGGTGTGTGCAGGTATATGCACATCTGGATGTATGAGGCCGTGTCTGCTTTCCTGAGTGTGTGCTGGTATGAGTGTTCACCAGTATGTGTTTTCCTATTTACATGTGTTTGCCCCCTGTTCAGGTTTGCCTGCTTATATTTGCACATTTGCCTATGTATCTCTGCCTCTGTGTGTGTACGTGGTATTTCTATATGTGGTATCTGCCTCTGTATGGGCATCTGCTGTGTGTATATATGGCAACTTTGTGTCTCTGTGTCTTTGTATGTCTTCCAGTATATCAAGTCTTACATGGTGTGTGTGTGTGTTTGTGTGTCTCTCTGTGTTTGTATCTCTACCACTAGGTATGACACTGTCATTTTGTGTATTCACATGTGTGCATGTGTACTGTGTTGCACTTGCTGAGCAGTGAATCTGAGGCAGACTCCCGGCAGCTGGTCTGGGGGGTGCTGAGCTAAGTCCTCATTCCTTCTTAGGGCTATAGGGTTGGGGTAGGGTGGACGGAGAAGCCTTGGTGGGTCTGGGTCCAGCCCCTGGTACCTGTCACTGGGGTTACCTTTCTGTTCTGACCAGATTGTGATCTGCGGAGACCCCCAGGCCAAGGACACCAAGGCTCTTTTGCAGTGTGTCCACTCCATCTACATCCCTAACAAGGTTTGCATCTGTAAGCCTGGCCCCACCCTCTGCCTCCCCTCCTCCACTCCACAGTATCTCCTACTCATCTGAGGGCCTAGGGAGAGGAAACTCACCGGTGGGCTCTGCCGGAGTCCCAGCGCCCCCAGGTGCCCCTCATCTACTGTGTTGTTGCCCAGGTGCTGATTTTGGCCGACGGTGACCCATCTAGCTTCCTGTCCCGCCAGCTGCCCTTCCTGAGAACCTTGCGGAGACTAGAAGACCTGGCCACCGCCTATGTATATGAGCATGAAGCCTGCTCTATGCCCATCACCGAGCCCTGTGAATTAAGAAAACTGCTGCACCAGTGATGGGAACCCCCTGCCTTGGTCTGGGCAGAAGGTGGGGCTTCTAACGCACCAGAGACTCAGGCCCTGGTGCCCTCAGCCATCCTTGTTGTCCCTCCCTCCATGGGCACCTACTCACCCTGGAATAAACCTAACAGTGTCCCGAGCTAACCTTGGGCCTCCGCTTTGTTCGTGAGAGAGAGGCCTCAGGCTCTAGCCTGGGAACCAACAGCCCAAAGCCCCTTCCTCTGGAGCCCCCGGCTGACCCCTCTGCCTTCTCACATTCCTCCTTCCCCTTCAGAGGTCACCAGGCCGACTCTGCCCCCATCCATGGTCACTGCAGCCTGAATGAAACTGGAGTCAGGGGAACAGTAATGACCACCAGGAATGGGGATGAGAGTGTGGACTTACCCAGGGGGAAAGGCTAATCCTTGCCCCCAGTATGGTTTAGAAAGGGGCCTGCCCTCCCCTTCCCATTGTCTCCTCCTGTTTTAAGCTGGGGAAGAGGCAGGGGGTGCTTTCTGTGAGCTTTTATTTTTCATGGAATGGCAGCATTTACACACACTCTGGGGCCTTGTGGGAGCTGGTTCTTGTGGGACCAAGGACATTTCTTTTGGGCTATCTAGCCAGCCTCTGGCCTCTTAAAGATACAGCCAAAGGTTCCCTGCAGGAGGTCATATCGTCCACCCCTGTGCTCTCACATAAGCCAGTCCAGCGAAGGAGTTCTCTCTCACTTGGAACATCTGTTGGGTTAGAAGTCATTCTCCATATCTGAGTCCTTCCTGCTGCAGGGAAAGCCAGTGCCTTCCTGTGACCTCCTCCTGTAACCTCAATGTTGGGAGATCCTCACAAGGCCCATTTTTGGCACTCACACCTTCAGGGGTCCCAGAAACTCCATCTAGCTTCCACAGGGTGTGGGAAGCTAGAAAGGGTGCTTTGGGAAGGACAGGTGTAGGGTGATGGGACTAACAGTCACAGACGAGGGGAAGGGGCTTCCCCCTCCCCACCCTGGCTGCTTCAGGGATCTGCTGAGCCTGGGTACCCTCACAGCACCATAATCAAGTAGTACAGCTAGCCAGGAGAGGCTGCTAGAGATGGGACCTGAATGGGGCCGCACCCGTGGGGATGCCAGCAGTAGGACTGGGATGCAAAGGAGTTGGGAGACTGGACTGAGTCACTCTGAGGTCTGCTCAGGACCATGGCCACCCCCTGTGCACTGTCACACCCAGCTACACATGGTTACTGGGACCAGGGTCATCTTTTTTCTGGGCAGCTGGGCCCTCAGTGCAAGCCACCAGCCCATCTGGAGGGGATTAGGGCTGGAGCCAACAAAGTCAGCTGGTTCCTTTCTGGCTGGAGGCTGCTCAGCCTTGCCATGAAATCTGAGGACTGGGCAAGCTGAGCCTGGTCTTAGGGGTCAGCTAGGTGGGAAGGTAGAGTGTGGTAAAGCACAGGTGGTCTTTTTGGCAGCCCTAGCCCTGGCTTTGGAAAGGTCTAGGCAGTGTGCAAAGCTCTCTTGAATTTTTCATCCTATTGACCCTCATGAATGAGGTGGCAACCTCATACAGATAGGGATTCAAGACCCAGAGATGGTAAGAGTGGCCTGAGACTTCTGAACATATTTGGTTCTTTCTGGAGCCTCTAGGATACAGTAAAAACCACTAAGGCTTCCTCTTCCCCTAGGAGGTGCAGGCATAGCTGTGAAGGAGGATGCACTTGGTGTCTTCTGCCCCTCCATCCAGTCTTCCTTCTACTCTGTAGTCTCCTCTTTCCCTGGGACCAGGCACACACCTGACAACAGGATTCTGAAAATGGGTTCAGAGAAAGGAGAGAAGGCCTTAAAGGGTTAGTTCTCTTGCACTTTCTAGAGAGGACAAGGCTTAACATAAATCTGCTCAAATGTGGGATTTTAAGTCTGTAGCTCCTCTTCCCCTTTACAGTGCCTCTTGGATATGTTCCGTTCCCTGCCATCAGGACTGTCCTGGCAGAGCCAAGGGCTAGGGCTTAGAGACACAGCCTTGCAATTTGGGCAGTCGCTTAAGTAATTTCATCTGAACCTCAGTTTCCTTATCTAAAAAATGGGATGGGACAACCACCACCTAACTCTCTAGGCTGTGAGGTGACTAAATGGGACGATGTATCATTGCTGAGCAGAGAGCATCACAGATGGGAAGATTATCTCAGTTCCTGAGGGAGCCAGCCAGGCTGTGAGGGAGGCATGAAGGGAAGGTTGCTGGAGCAAGCTGGATGAGAGCTCAGAAGAGGTCTTAGACAACACTTTGGCCTGACTTCTTTGTTGGGCAACTGAGGCCCAGAGAAAGGAATTTCTTGTTCCCTTCGTTTCCCCTCCCTGCCTGGAATTAGTCATTCATCTAACAGATTCATTAAGCACCTACTATGTGCCAAACACTGCCCTAGGCCCTGGTGAGCAAAATGGACAAAGCCCCTGCTCTCAGGGAACATAGAACCTAGAGAAGGAGACAATTATTTCATTATTAACACACTAACATATAACCCCAGCCTGGGTGAGGTGCTGTGAGGTTCTAGGCTCTTGTCTGGCTCAGCGCCTTGGACTTAGTGGGCAGTGTGATACTTGCTGAAGACCCCTGTGAGGAGATGATGTCCCAGCTGAGGCTTGGAGGGTGAGAGTTAAAGATGGTTTCGGTTTCCTTTGCCTTGTCTGTGCATCCTGCGTCTCCACTCCTCTCCCCTACTCAGGCTAAGAGTGAGCATCTCTGACTAGAGTTCCAAGTCCCTTGGTGGCCCCACACAGGGATCACCATGTCTTCGCTGGCAGGTCACCCCATGCCCAGAGTCCAAGGAACTAAATGTGGGTCTCAATTTGTCCCAATGGTGAATGTGTCAGCCCCTTCCCCTTGCTGAGTATATTCTAGAACAGAGTTCAGCTCAGAGAAGGGGGTTGGCCTGGATGATGGTTGAAGGTGTGGAGCCTGCTGACCACCAGGAAACCTGACCATTGTGGTGGGCAAGCCTCTCTGGCCTCATTTTCCACTCTGCAAAGAGTGATGATTAGAATCACTACCTCCAGGTACCAGCCCTGGGGACTCCTAACCCTTCCAGGGAGGGCAGGCAGACCAGGCAGACTGTGGACCTGCGGGAGGGAAGAAGGTGTCAGACACGTGGAGTGAACCATAAATAGGCTTCTATCCCAGAAGACTGCCGCGAGTTCAAGATTCTGGCGCAGCACACGCAGAATGAGAGCAGATTCCCACCAGGAGGGAAAGGCACTTAAGGGATCTGCTCATTAGCATGAAATGCAAATGAGCCCGGCCTCATTTGCACAAGTTGGTGCGCGGATTCGGTGAAAGGGCAACCTGGGAGGCGACAGCGCAGCAGCCCTCTCTCCTCCCCAGCTCGCTTCCCGAAACCCGCTCGGGAGGGAGCTGAGACACCCACCCCACGCGGCTGGAGGTGCGCGGGCGCTGCGTGGGTGGCGCAGTCTTGGGACAGCGAAAAACGCCAGGGAGTAGGGAGGTCACCTGTCCATCCCTCTGCCTCTCCGCAATGGCGTAAGCTCCCCGAAGTCTCCGGAGAGGGTACTGACTGACTTGCTGGGTTCCGCGTGTCTACCTCCCCCAGGGGGTGGGGAAGTGCTTCCCAACTTCTAATCCTCGATGCCCTCCCCTCATGCACCTCACCCTCGCGTCCAGCTCTTCCGCGGCGCTCGTCCCCCAGGTACCCACAGCCTTTGGGGTGGCGTCGGCGGTGAAAGGAAGCTGGAGCTGATTGTGCCCCTGCACTCGGGAAAGCGAGGCGGGGCAGGGGCCCAGCACGGTACGTGCATGTGCGCGCTGGGGAGCCGCAGACCCTCCAGGACCCACTCCTGATAGGGAGGAAGTGTGCGGGGAGAGCAACCCTCCGAAGCGCCTGTCCTGCGGACAGCATTCCTGTAGCCATGTCAGAATTCGAGGAGAAACTGAGGCACGGACGGGGGGCGTTGGTGAGACTTTGCAGGTTGAGTTGGCAAAGCCCAGTTCGGTGCTTTCAACCCCTCGCACCCATTCGAGGCTCCGACGGGTCCCTTCCAAAGAGCTTCTCTCTACTCCGCAAGTGCTCCTGGGAATCTGGGCTTCTGGGTCCGATGTGACTTGCCTGGGGCCATATGTTCAAGCGCGAATCCCCCGCATGGGATGCACACGCTCCGAGAGATCCCTAAGGGCAGAGGGGACGAAGCTCAAGGGTATCAACGTGAAGTCGGGATAATGGGTTAGGTAGGAGGTCAGGGTCAAAGTCGTATTAGTGGACCTAGCAGAATAACCAACTCGCCCAAGAGGTTGGTGGAAGCCACGCCCAGACCTTGCCTGCCCCCGCCTTCACTTGGCCCGGCCTGTTTCCCCAAGACCGGCCCCCTCCAGCCTGAAGCCCTATCCCCGGGACATGTTGTTCCGCTCCTCCCCTTCCTGAGTCCCACTTCCAGGCTCAATTCCAGGGTGGCCGATTAACCAGGTGAAGACACAGGATTTCGCTTTGGGACCCCACACCCCCGGCATCCTTCTCCAGACCCGCCCAGAGCTGAGCCCCGCCCTCCAGCTGTGGTCCCATTCAGAGGTCTTGGACAAAGGACGCCCGGGTCCGCGGCGCCATCCTAGGACCCCTCGCCGAATACTCATTCCCCCGAGCCCGCTCCAGGGGAGTCCCACAGACCCCAGAAGCCAATAGGAAAGTGGGTTCGGCCTGGGTAGCCGTCTAACTGGCTCAGGCCTTCGGAAGCCTACCCACGGGCAATGGGAGGGGAGAGGGGCGGTCCTGGGCTTCGGGGTGGGAACCGGATTCCAGATGTGGTTCTCTCACCCAGCGCCCCCTCCCTCACTGCCACGGCAGCCGGCCAATGGGCGCGCGACTTGGGGCCGGCGGCGTGCGGCGATTGGCTGTGAGGATGGCTGGGGAGAGGCGGGGCCGAGGCTTGAAGTTGGAGTGAGGGATCCAGCTGTGGTGTGCGCCGGGCTCCTCGCCGCCGCTTTCGCTCGCTCGCTCCGCGTCTCGGCCGGAGGAGGAGGCAGTGGCGCCGGCGACAGTACGGCAGCGGCAGCCACCGCGGCGGCTGCGGCGGCGGCATCTCCGCCTCCACCTCCGCCCGGGACTGCCCCCCACCGTCTCCCCGCCCCTCCCAGACCGTGAGCCCGTCGAGGGGCGGAGGAAGGAGCCGCCCCCCACCCTCTTGAAACCCACCCCCAAAGACATCCCTCCTCCCCTCCCCCCGCCGCCGCTGGCGCTGAGCCGGGACGATGCTGACCCCTTAGATTCTGCTCTAGCTGCGCTGCGGGAAGAGGGGGCGCCCCTCCCCGGCCCCCCCTCCGGCCCCCTTCTTTCTGCCTCTTTCGGGGCTGGAATTCGAAGGTAGCGCCGAATCTGGCGACCGGAGCCTGGGCGCGAAGAGAAGAAGCCGGAACAAAGTGAGGGGGAGTCGGCCGGCTGGCCCGGGGGGGGGCCCCAGGGACCCTGGGGAAGCGGGACTCGCGTCGGGCGGGGTTTCCCTGCGACCCGGCGCCCCGCGGGCAGCATGCCCCTGCGGGCAGGGAGATCTGGACTGATCTGGCCCTTCCGGGGGCTCAGCCTGCGCCCTAGAGCCCCCCAGATGCGCCCCTGCCGGGGGCCCCCGGTTGCGTGAGGACATCTCCTCTGAGGGGCGCCGCTTGCCCCTCTCGAGACCGCCCGGGGCCCCGGCTGGCCAGAGGATGGACGAGGAGGAGGATGGAGCGGGCACCGAGGAGTCAGGACAGCCCCGGAGCTTCCTGCAGCTCAACGACCTGTCCGGGGCCGGCGGCCGGCCGGGGCCGGGGTCAGCGGAAAAGGATCCAGGCAGCACGGACTCCGAAGCGGAGGGGCTGCCGTACCCGGCTCTGGCCCCGGTGGTTTTCTTCTACTTGAGCCAGGACAGCCGCCCGCGGAGCTGGTGTCTCCGCACCGTCTGTAACCCATATCCTCCTGGGCACCACGGCCAGGCTGGGGGGTCCGCAGGGGGGCGGGCCGCGCCGCTGGAGGGAACCAAAAGCCAGGTGAGTCGGAGAAGTGAGCCTGGAAGATGGGCAGATGAGAAGGGGGCTGCTAAGGAAAACAGGGAGCTTTAGAGTGGGAGAGAAGATGAGAGCAGGTTTCGCCGATAACCCCCAGGCGAGCCCCACCTCAGCACACACACCTCAGTCCTCCTTGGGGGGTTGGGATCCAGGCCAGGAAAAGAGAGGACGGCCGGCTGGTTTGTAGCTGGATGCTCTCCAGATGTGGGCAGTGGAGGGTCGTCATCCTCCAGATGTTGGTAGCTTCGGGAGCCTGGGAGCTCTACTCCGCCCGCCGCCTGTAAGCTAGCTGGGTTTGGTTTCCGAGTTTGGGGGGTGGGGTGGGGAGGAAGCTGCGGGGACGGGGGAGGGGGGCAGTAATCTCCTGGGTTTCCCTCCTGCCCCCACTCTGAAGTTTGAGGTGGATTAGAGGGCCAGATCCAACCCCACCCCCACAGCCTGGTCCTTAAGGGTGAGGTTTTACTGATCCAGAGGGAGATGTTGGGGGGCGGGGACCAGGTCCTAACCCCCAACCCCCACCCCGCGGGTTGGAGGCACAACAAGGAGATTCCGCCGCCAGCTGATGTCAGGGGCGCAGAATGGGAACAGGATGTGGTGGAAGGGAAGCTGTCTGCCCCCAAAGCAGAGTAGAGACCCTTTCAGATGGAGCCAAATGCTCAGAGTGTCTCCCTTCTCCCCAGTTCTTGTTTCAGTGCTGGATGCTTAAGGTTGGGTTGGGAGTTTTATATTAGATTTTTTTCTTGTGGAGGGAAAGCCTGTGGTGAATGCTTTGGCAAGCGGGGGATGGGTTTCGTGGGGCCGAGTTACCCATCCCGTTTCACAAATAAAAAGTGCTCCCGTTCATCGCTAAGCAGGTATGGGAGATCTCAGCCTTCCAAGAAAGTACTGGGGGGACAGTGAAACTGAGCCGGTTGCTAAGGAATACTCGGGTCCCGGCACCAGTGTCTACTAGGATGGGTTTGTGTAATGCAAGCCCTACATTGAAGATAGATTTAGCACTGCCCCCCTATCCTCTGCCCAGTCTGGAGTGGAATAGGAGACCCCAGCCCCCTCATCTCCACGGCCTCTCCCCCCCAGCCCATAGCACAAAGGTCTGCTTGACTAATGCCAGGCTCCAGGCTCCCGGGTGGGTCCCGCCACTGCCGGAAGGAAGCGGGAGGGGGGGCGGGGGTGCCGCCACCCCAGGTCTTGACAGCTTCTTCTAACTCCTTCCTCGCAGCTCAGAGGCTTTTTGGACCCAGGGTGGGAGACCTCAGGTCTCTCTTGTAACCCCTGAGAGCCCAACCTGGACTCTGCTTTGGTTGGGGAAGGGAGCAGGGAGCTTGGTGTCGCCCTCACTCTCTGCAGCTCTGCTGCCTCTAGTGCGCAAAGCAGGGATGTGAGCTTGGGTCCCCCCCAATCCCCATCCTTTACACCCAGTGGGTCTTTAGGAAGCTCTCCCCATTCCCTGCCCCTCTTTCTCTCTGAGCTGCAGAAAGAGAAATTGGAGCCTCAGAGGTCTGTGGACATGGGTAAGCACATCTTGGGCTCTGACTCCCCCTCAAAACCCAGGCCCCTTTCTCCATGGTAGAGATGGAGATGGGGAATAAATATCTCTGAGAAGGATGGGCTGTGGGCATCTCTCCTTTCCACTTCAACCACGCAGCCTCTCCATGAATGGAAGAAGCACCAGCCCATCCCTTCAGGGGACCAGGGGAGGGGTAGAGATATCTCCTTTCCCTCCAAAAACACCAGATCTCTCGGTCAGCATGTCCCCACTTGCCCTATCTCCGGGTGCTAGTGGATGGTCTAGGGACAGATTCCTTCCTCGAAGGGCTCTGGGATAGAGCAAGTGGCAAGGGCTGGAATGCGGGAAGAGAGGCGGGAGCCCATTGGCTGTCTTGAGGGTGGGGAAGCAGGCTTACCTCTGAGGTGGTAGGAGTCTGAGATGTGGGGCGTTGGCGTCACTAGGTCTGGACAAGCTTCTAAGCCTGGGTTGGCTGAGAATGGGTTGGGAATAATTTCTCGCCAAGGGGATGCCTAAACTGTGCCCCTACCACTCCCATCACACCCAAGTGTCAAAGGAAACCTGTATTTTCACTGCCAGAGGGGCTTTGAACTGACTCTTGGGCCTGTCTTTTCCTTTTCGTCTATCTGTGAAGCCCCCCTGGGCTCCACAAGGTTCCTTTCTGCATCTCTGAGCCCAAGGGACATAAGAACACCTCCCCCAACTAGCAGAAGCAAGTTAGACTTTTCTCAGCCCCCTCCTCACTTAGCCTCTTGAAGAAACCAGGTTTCCTAGAGAGGAGATCTAGACCCAGGTAGGGAGTGGGGTGTGTGTGAGTGTATGTGTGCTGGGGTGGGGGAGAAAGGGAAGACAGCCAAAGGACGAAGGGCTCAGAAGCGCCTGTTTTGATGTCGGGGAGACCAGAGGTACTCACAGCCCATTCAGAGTCAGTTGGAAAGGCCCCCCTCCTTGCAGGTTACAGGGGGGGGTGTTGGACTGCCAGTACGTGTTTCTTCAAGTGTGAGGGAGTGTGTTTCCCCTCCCGGGAAGGAGATCCTGAGCATTCCCTCTCCGGCTGTTGTGTCACATCTGGAAGTTTGTGTAGGAGTTTCTCCAAGCTCAGAGCCCAGCACAGCTTTTTTTCATTTGGAAATCACAGGCTGGCATTTGGGATGCTGAGAGGGGGGAGTGGGAGGGGGCCAGAGCGGGAGAGGGGAGCCTGCCAGGAGTCGGGGGAGAAGAAGGGGGAGGCCTGAACGGCAGGAGCCCTAATGGCTTCCAGAAGTGAGTGTGAGTGTGACTGCGTCACTGTGTGTGTCTGAGTGTGTGCATCTGGAGGGAGGGGACGCCAAGAATTTCTGGAGGTTTCCTTGCCACTGTCCCAGTGCCCCAAGTTTGCCTGTTTCTCTTACCTAGGGAGAAATCTCCATTTTGGTTCACAGAAGAAATGGGAGGGGGTGCCCTTCCTGCCACCAGGTCCCTCCTCTTATTTTCAAACCCAAGGCTCTCCAGAGGGGCTCCTGGGGAGAAGGGCTGGGGGAATTGAATAGGACTGGGGGCCAGAGGAGCACCTTATGGTACTCTTTCTGTCCAGGCCCACCTCCTTCTGGGTTACACACCCACTGTGCTCCACCAAACTGTTGGGGGACTCCCTGTCACCCATAGTGCCAGCTGGAGCCATTCCTGGGATTACCCCCAACACACAGCCCCCCACCCCTCTCCAGATCCCACCCCAGCTCTCACCCCACCCTGCCTGCCTCAGCCAGGATGGCGACAGACACAACTGCTCACACACACAGACATGCGTGCTCACACACACACACACACACACACACACACACACACACACAGTCACAGACATTTGAATCAGATTTCTGGCCTTTTCCCCTCCCAAAGATTCCAGCGGCCGGCTCTCTGTGTCTCTGGGTCTCACGTCTCTGTGTCTGGGTGGGGCTGGCTGCCTTTCTTCAGGCTTCAGTTTTCAGTTCAGCTGGAAACCTCTCTCTCCACATACCCACACCCTGGAGCGGGCGGCTGGGGGACACTGGGAAACAGGCTTGTCCAAGTAGGGGCTTGGCTGGGGGAATCCCCCTTTCGACCTACACTGCATGAGCCATGCTGCTGAGCCTCCATGTCCCACCCCACTCCAGGGAATGTCAAATATCATAGGCACCCGCCTCTCCATGGGGTGGGTGAGACAAGGATCCCACCTTTCCAAGCCATACTAGGAGGCCAGGATTCCTGGGTCCAGGCCCGTTTCCTCAGGCTCCTCAGCCTCAGATTTCAGGACCTGGGCAGTTGGAGGGCCTGCTTCCCTTCTCAGTCCTGCCCCTGGAGGTGCTCCAGCCCTCCTGCCTTTCCCTT